CCTCCATTTTCCCAGTGTTTTCCTCTCCTGATAAGGCCATATAGACAACACTGCAGGGTTTCTTGAATAGGAAAATCTTGTACTCTGATTGCACACAATGCCACATTGTCTTTCAGCCATATGTAACCTACTTTAACAACTCCTTGGGTCAAACCCAGTTCCCTCTTCATGTAACTAGGCAGTAGAAATAGCTGGTAACATTTTTTGGTTTAACATTTTGTTGTTCCAAATTTGGGAACCATCCCACTGAATAGTGCAGTTCTCCTTCTCTACGTTCTAACTTATAGAAGCAGAAGAAGTTGCACATTCAATGCTTAAACATGTGAACAAAAAAAAAAGATTAAGATTATTATTTTTTTTATTTAGACAGTTATCAGACTGCAAATTGGAATAAATCCATTAAATATTCCTTTTCATTAGTCACACTAGGAAAGATTTGACATACCTGCTATTAAAGGAGCATTCCATGCAAGATTCCTAGTTTAATTATACCCAACTGTGAGGACATTTACGAGGAATCAAGTCAACATTGCTGGACAGAACTAGCCAGCAGGGAATTACTGGTCATGCAACTTGGTGACTGTGGTATGGCAAAATGACTCACCAAGAATGAAGAACTGTGGCAAAAAAAAGGCAAGATGAGTAAGTCTGCTCTGTCATTTTGGTTTGAGAAATGTCCACCGCTTGAGTTTTAATTCCTTTGGTTTTGTCACAGTTCTTGGATTGTAATGACTCTCAGCCATGTTGTTTGAAAGAAAGCTATGAGCTGTGGATGTCACATCGCAAAGCTTTATATATATATATATTAACTCCAGTGTAGATGATGTACAGTGGTGTCTAGATGTCAGAAATTAGGGGTCTGCAGAGATATTTTCACACCTCCAAAGTTCAGCCTTAGAAGTTGGTTGTGTTTTCTGCTTCTAATGATCCAAGTTGTCCCAAACACATTCAGCAATATTGCGGTCTGGACTCTCAGATAGTCAGTCCATTGTTCTGAAAACACCAGCAGCTTATTTGTTTGATTCGATAATTTTCTTATTTTTTTTGTCCAAGTCCTTTTCTCAGCAAGGGCTTCTTGACAGCTACACATCCTTTCAGACTCATAGTGTTGTGTTGTCTTCTCACAGTGGAAGGATGGACAGAAACACCTGATATTTTTTCAGATCTAAAGCAAGAGTGGAGCTCATGCAAGCTTGAAAGCTTTACATACTGTTTGTCTGATGGTGACAGTTTTGGTGGTCTATCAGGTCTTGTATGATTGTTAGGAGTCACATTCCTTTTTTAATGTTGTTTTGAAATGCAGTTTCCTATCAAAAAAATTGGAATCAGCTATAAAAATTCCTGATCAGTGCCTTAATGCAAATTTACTGTTGCAGCAGCTTCGGAGTAACAATGTGGCTTGTGTAACTCATGGTTAATCTGTAGTGATTCTGTCTATCAAAGCTTTCCAAAAGTTGTCCAAACGAGGCAGCATCATCAAGAGTTTCCAGAACCCTGTTGCAACCTAGAATCCTGCTCAACAAGGTTGCCACATGTAATACAGAAATAAAGAACCAACACCATTTACTGTATGTCATCAGATTACCTAGTATCATTAGTCTCTTGTTAAAAATTACAGGTGTGATATCAGATGCCCTGGGCACTTCCTTTTGAATAATGACTCTCTGCTACAGTCTAGCACTGTGTGGGTACTTCTGACTCACTGTTTTAAATATATGTTTGATCTTTTACATTTCAGTAAGGTGGTGTTCTGGATTTCTCTCATTATTTTTGCTCAAGTACTCTGCTGTTATGCAGTTATGCAGTATTAGAAACAGCCTTGTTTAGTTGGAATTTGGGTCTGACAGTTAACCTTGTTCTGAAGGACATAGATGGAGATTTCCAAGCAAGTCCAAACAATCAGTGATGCTTGTCCTGTTGCTGAATAGTTTCCATGCTGTTGTGCAGGCACTCTGTGCCTTTGCTCAAAGCATTGCCTGGAGCAACATAGAAGGCCTTGTGGAATCCAGCCTGCCTCTGTCTGAGCATGCCGCATCACACAGTGGTCCTGACGGGCTCAGTGTCTGCAAGCAGGCCATCCTTAGATAAGAGGGGATTGGTGGAATACACAAGCCTGCATCAATGGCTTGCATAATTATTCAGACCACGTGAAAGTTATCAGCATTTTCTGGTTTACCAGTGATGCTTGTTTTATTTACTCACATATGACACAGCAGAATTTTCTAATTTTCAAAAATAAAATATGTTGGTTGCATTTGTAACAGTTTGAAGTTTTTGAGATATATACCTGTTGTTGAAGGAGTAGACATCAGAATGTAATGAGTTAAAGGGGCAAAAGGGTGTGGAAGAAAAAGCCGGTCTCTTGGGGTTAGCTATTAGCCAGTAACTTAGCATGGAAAGTGCCCCACACTGAGCCAGCTGTTTCTTGCGACACAGTGGCCTCAGGGCCAGGTCCTCACAACAAACCAAGAGGCTCCGCTGCTAACATTAATATTGTGGATGGGTCTAATATTTACTAAATTTCAGAGGAGTCTGATGGTTGTAGCTGAAAGCTTGAACATAAGGGACGCATATATGAAAGAAATTGAGAAATTCAGACATAAAACAATATTTAGCACCGCTTTTGCTGAGCCAGATGCTGTGTGCTTTACATGCTTTCTCCTTTATCTTGTTAGATAGAAAGATTAGAAAGTGATATTGTCTTCTGTTTTTATTAGGGCTGGGCAGTATGACAATATTTATCGTTATTATGATAAATTACATCACAATATGCTTTTCTATGGATATCGTGGATATCACCATTACTTAAAGAACGCTGCATGTTACATTACAATGAGCAAAATTAGTCCTGTCTATTTGGATTTAGTGCAATGTAGTGTATTAGAAGTCAGAAAAAATGGATATTGTGGCGTATCATGTATTGTGAAAATGTATTGAAGTATTGTGATATTTTGATATGATATTTTTGCTATATCACCCACCCCTACTGTATATATATTGTTCATTTTCGTTTTTAATATTTCACCCAGTAAAAAAATTGAGATTTACTTCAGTTGGTAAATATAATTTTTATTAAAAATGAAGGCACACCCCATAATAATACAACATTGTTCATTTACAAAATAAATTTGCTTAAGCTTTCTAAATGGCTTTATTTGAAAAATATATACATAAATACACTACACCGTGATATGTACCAAAAACATCAGAAATCAGAAAGCCACACCTACTTGCCATCCTCTAATACAGGCCAGTTTTACTGTATGCAGAGCTCTTGATATTATAGACAGGTGCAGCTTTATTCTCCTTTCAGCTACTGATACTTTTTCAAAGTGATTGTTGGCCTAGCTAAGTCTGCATCTCATTGCTTGCTGAGTTTTGCAGTGTGGCTTTGTCTAGTGTCTGAAAGGTGTGATGCAGCTTCTGATTATTGATCCAACTGCTCAGTGGGAAATTCAAATACTTGAATGTTATTTTGTGCCCTATTCCCATTTTAAACATGTGACTTTAATTTTTTTAATTTAATGCAGCCGAATATTTTCCCAAGACACTGAATACACACTTAGTTGTATTCATAACTTTGGGCATCCTGGTCAAATTACACGTTTTGTTGATTTTTGAAGTGAAAATAATTTACACACCCTCTACAGAGAACCAACATTTTAATGCACAGTTACTGCTTACTTTCTGAATTTAACATATTGGAAAAAATAAGTAAAACTTAAAATGTGGTGCAAAATTATGGCACATTTTTGATTTCCTATTTTATTTCATTCCAATATGTCAAACTGAGCAAATAAATAGAAATTGTGCACTAAAGTTTGCAGACAAAATGCATATTTAAGTTTGTTAGAGGATTATTTTCAATGATTTTCATCAACAAAACATGTCATTTGACCGAGGTTATTCAAACTTTTGCATACCACTATATATTCTGTATTTTTTTGTTCGTTTTATTTTACTGTGGGCTTCAGGCAACATTTGTCAGATACATATTTCAGATATTATCTGTTGTTTTGGGCAGTGAGTGGGATATTTTTAGCTGTTAATTGGTCTGTGCCTGCTGGACGTCTGTGAGAAAAATTATGAGAGACCTGTTTTCACTTATTACAAAGGCATCATTCATCTGTGTTCTCTGTGAGAAAGACCATCAAGATTTTTTATGGCTCTTGGTTGCATTTAGATAATGGCAGTGAGTGTAAATAAACATACAGGTTAGATCATTTCAGTTTCTCTTTTAAATTTCATCTGTTATGCTTTGTGTGATGATTCAGCCAACCAGTATCCTGCTCTGCTCTGATAAATCGCCAGTCATGTGCTGTTTGGCTTCTGTCCATGCAAGACCTTATACATATGTCTGTGTTAGAAATCAAGAGTTGCAACACTAGAGACTCATCCTACGGGTGAAAGGGTTATCTTTGTTTTGACTACATCTTGTTTGGGTTTTGTGTTCTTCTCTAAAATCAGTGTCATTTCTGTGTTATTTTGGCTTCAGTTAAAGGAGAAAGTAAATGGGAAGCAGCTGATCTGTGCCTCTGGTGAGGAGATACCTTTCTCTGGAAGAAATGTGTGCTTACCCCAATCGGGAATCACTGAAATAGCACTAAAGACTCCAAAGAGTTAGTAATAGAGAGCAAAGTAAAAGTGTATGTTTTATGTTTTGTGCAGAGAAATGTTAAGTATTTCAAATTAATATTTGAACGTTGTTATTGTTGCAGTGATAATTGTTAAGACCTCTAAATACACTCAGTTTGAATTATCAGTATCAAATATACTGTTCAGATATTTCATTTAATTCATTAGTGCATAGTAAATGTACATATCGTATGCTTTAGGCAGGGCATTCTTACTGTAAAAAAGCCTTTTTTTGTTCTGTAAACAGGTGTGCAAGTGAATAATATTGCACTTTTAGTATTTGGATATCTGATGCCTTAACAGAGCTGTTTTTCCCATGTGTTCATGCACATTGGTCATTACAACATGTTTGTATATTTTAACAGAGACCTGAGGTTTAACAAAATTAAGGACCTGCAGCCAGGCTCTTTGAAACGACTGAAGAATCTTACGACACTGTAAGTATCTCTCTCTTCTTTTAGCCTGCCTCATATGTTGATTTCATATGCTGACAAACTTTTATGAGCGTACTGTTAAAGGCATTTACTTTGACACTGCTCTCCTCTGCCTCTCTCTGCTTTGGTCCACACGTACAGGTCACTTCAAAATTTATTTTTCTTGATCAGTAAGTCCTCACCCAGCTGGCCTGCAACTCCGCTACCATGTATTTCTTATGAGCTGTTTTAAGGCACAACCTACCAGTTCAAAAAACAATGTGATGTGGCTTTAATAGAATATATGGAAAAAGCACACTGTAATGTTTTGGTTGGTCCAAAACTAGCATCTTGGGTAACTTTTACTTGTTTGAGGGTAAATATCAGAGGGCAAGATGGAATTATAGACTTACTAAATTTCTTGTTTGTGCTTGCCCTTTGTTTTGGCTACAGTGTGAAGACTCACTGTAGACTGTTGAAGCTGCATTGTTAGTTTCAGTTTATCTCTACAGTAGGGCTGCATGACATGCACGTAAAATGTGATATTCAGTACAGTGGCTGGATATTGCAATTTGAGAAGCAATAAATTATAAAGAAAATGCATTTCTGATTCTGAGTGTGTAGCATGTACAGACTGTAAATTAGAAATCTAATTAACCTTGCCTTTTAAGGAAATAATAAAAAAATAAAAATGTACAAAAAATAAAAACACTGTTCATTATTGTACATAGTGCAAAATAAAAATGATAAGAAGCTGAACAGTCATATACAAAAAAACATCTCATTTGACCAGGGGTGTCTAAACTTTTGCATCTCTCTCTCTCCCTATGTATATATAAGTACGATATACAAGTACAATACATCTGAGGAAGCCTTTTGATTGGCTAGTTGAACTATACTTGAATGTTGTTTAAAGCCAGATATACACTACGATTTTAGAAATCTTGTTCCCTGGTGACTCACATTGTATATTTAAATAGACCTTTGAATACAGATAAAGTCTACAATTTATATACTCACGCTGTACGAAAGCGCTTGGTCCATGCTACATGAAACACAGCCCCTACAGACGACTCTGTCTACGGACAATTTCAAGTAAAACTATTAAATACTGAGCACCGAGTACTGAGCAAACACACACACTGGTACAGCAGTTTGCATATACAGACTTTTTCTGTCTCTGTTTTGCTAGCCTAATGCTACGTCTCTCCACTTATTGGGGAAGTGGTTGTGATTGTGTTTGTGTTCATTAAAAAAACAGGCTAAATTCACACAGTGAACTCCTGACAGGAATTTGCAAGGGCAGAATGTTTAAAGTGACCAGCGACTTTATGTCTGACTTTCACAGCTTTAGTGACACTTCTTGGTGTAAACAGACCCTCCTTCACTTTCATCTTGAATTGTTTGCTTATTAGCATAGCTGGCATCAAGTACGAGTAAATGAGCATAATGCATCCCTGATAATGCATGTGTAATTTTCTGTGTTGGCCTGCGTGAATCTGTATATAGTTAACACTTTAAAAAGCTCATTATGGCGATGTAGGACAGTAGCCATGACTGCTTCGCTGAGATTGAGAATAGTAATGATGTTAAAAATATTTTTACAGATTAGCACCTTAGGATCTAGTTTTTTTAGCCATACACATCACTGTACTTTGTAAACAGTTTAATAGCAGAGTGGTTAAGTCACTTGTACTATAGGCAAAAGAGCAAGATTTCACTCCTTGCTGCTTAATATTAGACTTGGTTCTAATTCTACTTTACTACTAATCTAATCACATCACTCTAGGCTCATGTATAATGTAATTTGATTTGTTCTGCTGTTGCAGCTGTTAACGATGTATGTCTGATGATATTGAATTGCTTCCATTCACACTGCAAGTTATCCTTGTTACTTCTGATGAAAAAAGGTTTAATCATTATTTCGAATAATCTTGTTTTAGATATTTAGGCAGTATACAGTGAACAAGATTAAGCCTAATTATGAGCCTCACTTTTCAGAATGTGTTCACTTTTCATTGTGTGAATTAAAAAACTTAATTTAGTTCTGAACTTGGCTAAATCTGGATCTAGAAACTGGTGTAACTTGTCTTGCATGGAATAAATGCTTGTTGTGCTCTGAAAGTGTTGTTTGACACATTGCATGATGTATGACTCTGTATAACCATCAATTTAAATTGCTTATACTGTTGCTCTTTTTTTCACCCGAAGCCTTTTAAACAACAACCACATACGAAGAATCCCAAGAGGAGCCTTTGAAGACTTGGAAAACCTGAAGTATCTGTGAGTTTGTATATGCATTACTTCACACGTAATCCTAAGTTTGACTTTTTGGGAGAGTTATGTGTTATTCATGTTCCATACAGTTATGCTACATCAATATCAAAAGAGTAACCATTCAGAGTGAAATCCCCATTTAATTCACACTTGTCAGTTGATAAAAAATCAAATTTCCATGAAATGTTATTTCCATGTTTTGAATTTCTCTTGACTACCGTTGTTTGATGAAGAAAGCAAATCTCAGACATAAAATTGGACTATGGGAATTTATGTGTCTGAAAGCAGTCACCTAAAGGCATTTGGGAGGAGAGAGGCAGCTTGAATAGCAGCCCTTTACACAGTCCTGCCTTTGTTAGTCACAGATCCATTAAGAAACCTCAGGCCTCAGCTGTGCTGCTGAGTTCTGTCTGTGTTTACATTTACATACAGCCAGTATGTCTGAAATGTCTGCTTTCATTCTCCTTAATTTAACACCTGCTTTTCCTCACTTAACCTCTTCACACATCTGTAGACATACCAGACTCAGGATTAGCTTACAATTGTGAGTGGACCATCATAATTGCCTTTCATGCAGTTTTAAAGAGTCTTGTTAAGGCAATATATTTAAAACTGAAACCATTTAGACACTGAGATGAGCTGTTCATTCTTATAATAAGACATTTTAAACAGTAATATGCATTTTATTGGACCAAAATGAGATTGGTTCAGGGTGTCACTGTGAAGTGTAGTCGACAAAGTGGCAAAAGGACTTGGGGAAAATACCGTTTTCACGAAAGTCTGTTACTCCAGATGATGCTTAGGGCTGCATCAGTATGGAATGACAGGGCTGGTAACTATAACCGATAATTAATAGGGATGTACACAGGTAGTGTAGTGCTCGATTAACCATTCCAGGTCACAGGAATACTGAAATCACTATTCAAGTATTCATTAAGTTCCATCATCGGAAGATGGTGAAGATATGCAGGCTAACAAAGCTGTGAAAAGGCAGTTTTATGAAATTAACAGGTCTGTAAAATGTGACTGATTTCTTTGAATTTGTGAGTTTATATATGTATTTTTATTACACTTTGCTACTACAAAAAAATGTGTGTAGAAGACATCCTCATTAGCGTTAAACATTATAGCGGTTAGCTCTAAAGTTAGCATAAGCTCATTAGCCCATCTGAAGAAGCAGCCCTGGTTACTTATCCAAAACAAAAACCTACTGATTTTTCTTACTTATTTTAAAATAATAAGACATGTTTTTAAGTAAAAAACATTTTTGAACGTATTCCTCTGTGTGGTGCTAACTTTATACTGCAGAATTAGCCTCCTCACACCAGTGCTATCACCTAAAAAAGAAGCCTACAGTTAGTAATGGGTGGTATGTCGGTTGAACTTTTTGTTTTGTCATAACCTTTATACTGCAATGCCACAAATAAGCACAGATAATGCAATGTACAGATGTATACAATGTACAGTGCAAAACGCTAGCGTTAGCTCGTTTGCTGAGTGGCTGAATGAAAGAGTCAGAGATGTTCAGTCGCATTTCAAGTGGAAATAAAAAGACAGCAGTTAGTCCATCACCTTCAGCGGGGTACTCTTTTGCAGTCTGAGGCATTTCAGAAGATATCCAGCAACTCAGCTATCACAAACTGTGTGACAGTCCATTCAGCACCAGGTCATTTAAACCTAGCCCTCTCAAGTAAATTTCTCAAATTTATTAAGTAAACTCTCAAATTTATTAAGTAAATTTGAGAGTGAATTTTGATAGTAAACCAGGGTTAGAAATTAGCACAAGGCCATGCCCCATGCTGTATATTTTCAGTTCAGGCCATCTTCAAAGGGCCCATATCATGGAAAACTGATTGATGGAGTTTTATAAATATTATAGTTTCAAAGTAGACCATTCCCTCCAGGTTATGCAGTCATATATGAAGATAAATAATAAGAAACAGAAACCAGCCAATGACACAAGACTTACATTCCAGAAGGTATCCAGCAGCTCACCTAGCACAGACAGCCTGACGGTCAATTCAGTATCAAGTCACTAACCGCAAACATTACACCCAAGTGTCACTTCCAGCACCGTGTTAGGAGTGACGGGCTGTGTTGTGCAGTGGGGAGGGGCGGTGATCTCTTAGGGCGCTGCTGTTTCTGTCTGCCTTTAAGTGTCCTGTAATTGCAGTGGTGACTAAACATGTTACAACCGAGTGTAATTAGTGAGCATGCTGCTCTAAAGACTTGGGGATCAGAGCCTCATCCTGGGTCACTGTGGTGTCATCTCACAGTTGACCTTTGAGGACCTCTGCTCAAATGGTGTAGCTTTTTCAAATATTATCATATGATCAAGCAGTCTGCCAAGGTATGTCACAGCTTCCATTTCATACTTACACTAGAACCAGTTCCATCCTTTTCAGAGAGTTTAACAAGCTCCCCAAAGTCAATGACTGTCAAAAAAGTTACTTCTGTCACCTCCTCAAACACCGTGGAGCAGCTACAGTTAAGTCATGAAATTTAAACCCAGCCTGCGCCCTCTCAAACTGAGTCGAGGCAGATTAGTTTTGAAAGTAAACCAGCCTTAGACCTTAGCATGACCCCTGCTGTGTAGTTTCAGTTCAAACTATATGTATTGATTTTATTTAAAGGACCCATATTATGGAAGATGGAATGTTCCTCAAAAATCAGTTTGATTTAAAAAAGAATTTGATGTAAACATTGCAGTTACAGAGTTTTGCTCTACATGCTATGCAGTCTAGATATGGAGGTTGAATTCATTACATATGGTATTAAAATCAGTTTAGTCCCACCCACCCAGTTTCAGCCCAGACTGCTTTTTGAATGAGGCAAAATGCAGGGCAGCCAGTCAGAACAGAGGTCATATACATATATCAGTTCTAGGCACACTGAATTAATAATTAATATTATTTTTAATATTATTTAATTCTAAAGAGGAAAGGTTGGTAGTCATGTAAAAATTATGAAAACCACACAAATAAGTGGACTTAAAAAAGCAAGGAAAAATGTAGGACTCCTTTAAGAATTTTGGATCTGTTATAGTTTACTGTGAAATTGACTGTCGTGGAATTTTATTGCTGATACTCCTCTCAGATACTCCCCTCTAACTAGCTATTAGCAGAGCTTTTAGCAAAGAAATGTTTGAAGCTGAGGGGCTGCTTGAGAAAACAGATATTTTCAGTAATTTATGGGGTTCAGCCTGTACTTCTCTCTACCAAAAAACATGCAGAGTTGATAGCAACTTGACGCTGCAGTGAGTCCAGGTGCTGGTGTGTGAAAATCAAGGTTCCTTGTTATTCTTTTAGCTTTATTATTGAAATATTTAGATAAAATTTATGTTGAAATTATATTTTAATGTTAGATTGTAGGGGTCAGTGTGGGAAATGTGAGCTGATGCCAATAGCTGATATTTTTCTAGCCTGATGGCGATGCAAATATATAAACATTTTTAAAATATAGAAAATGGGACTAAATTTTATAATTAGCATTTTAGAGAGATGTAATGTTTGGTTGTATTGGGTTGCAAAAGCAGTAAAATGAATCAAATGCACATATTTTAATGTAGAAACCCAACATCACCTAAATGTTCTGCTGTTCTGGAGTACAACAAATACATCATCAAATATGGCTTTAAAATTTCAGTCAAATCTAAACATCTGGCCGGTGCTGATAATTATTTTTTCAGGAAATATCTGCCAATATTGTTATGATTCCGATGTCATAATACATCCCTGTTAGAGTTTATTTTTATGTCTGTATTAAGCTGTAAATATTTCATACGTTTTGCTGTTTACTCAGTTTGTATGGCCAAATTAATGTAGATGTCTTAGGCTCTAATTTTTCTAAGTCGACTAAGGACGACTGAACTGTGTAGTCTGCATTTGTGGAGCATAATATGTGGGAAATGGAGTCATTGTGGTTCTCAGCGATGCAATGCTGGAGGTACAAGAGCATTTAGATTACATGACCAAACTCTGAACAGCTGACCACCCCGGCCCCCGCTCCCAGAGGGAAGACTCCAAGCACTCAATTCCTGTTTCCCATGGATCGTCTCTGCTTTAGCAGTGCCGAGCTGTGATGTGGAGGACTTTCAAGTGCGTGTGTGTGTGTGTGCAGTCACCCGGCGACAGCACCTCACATTCCTTTCTGATTGATAAAGCAAAACATTCCAGACATAGACAATACCTTGGCCTTCAGGTCCAGTCAAATCAGGGCCTCCATGGTACACATGCAGCTTTAACTTCAGATTACACAACTGCTTACCTGTAAAACAAAATATGTTCTCTTGTACTATACCGAAAAAAGTACTGAATTCACTGTTCATTTGTACATAACTACATGAATATGAGTACCTTATATCAATTTCATCTTTAGTTTACTGATTTTGGCAATAGCTGTGTGGTTGAAACATATTTTATTCATATGGAAAACATTTGAATCTGATCAAATTTATTGACATTTTTCCAGTATGCTTTGATATTTGTTCTTTTGTCTTGTCAGCAGGGTAAGTATGCCTCATGTTCACATTGTCCCTGTACTGAATCATTCTTTTCAACTCAAATACCCTTCTATATTTGTGAAAACACAAAATTCTCAATAGAACCTTTACTTCAGCCCCTGTTACACCTCATAAAGGGGGCTAGATAAGATATTGTATCACTAAACAGTGTTTCCAGGGCTTGAAAATAGATTGCATGAACAGTCAGCTTCCAATCCAGTCCTGTGATCTGCAGAGAGTTACACTTATTCATCTGGACTGGTGTCTGTTTTTTTTATTCTTAGCAGATGTTTTTACATCTGTTTTTATTTATATAAAAATTAAATTTTTATATGCGTAGGAAAGCAATGAAATGTTGAAAGCTCTGTGAAAAACAGCACACTGTAATGAGACTGACTCATTTTGTAACAGATTTCTTTTGTACTGAGTAATTAAGCAGCTCATCATGCATATGTGACTGTCTGTCCTGATATTTTAATAAACATTATGTAATCGCTTTGATGGTTTTTCAATACTTCATTCATTGTTAGCCAATTGAAGCGATTCTATCTCTTAGTTGTTTATTAATAATAAGCATAACAATATACAATAGACTCTTTTATTCATTTTATATAATCAATTCAGACTGCAAAAGCAAATGTTAAATTGCTCTCATACATGTAAATAGGAAATGCTTTTAGCTCAGTGTAATTGCATAATCCTGTTCTTCTGTGTGTTTTTTCTAATATACATGATGATTTCTCCTTCCAGCTATCTGTACAAGAATGAAATCCAGTCAATAGACCGACAAGCGTTTAAGGGGCTTGTCTCTCTAGAGCAACTGTAAGTGAACCCTTACCTCCTTGCCTTCTTCTTTCATCTCCTAATTACTACTAATAATACCTTGTCAAATTCTTCAGGAAAGATATTGCCACCTAAGTGCGTGGCACTTGAATCAGTAAGAGCCAAACATATTGCTCATGCAGCTTTGTGTCAAGGCCATGGCTTTTAAAAGCATTGAAATGACTAATTAATGTCAAAGGGCAATTGCACCATTTTTTTTATGCCTACATAATTAAATTATAAAATGTAAAACAGTCATCCAGAGAGGTTTGATGTAAAATGCTCCATTCTAGAGAAACTCCAGACATCTGTAGGAGTTACCTCACATGATGTTATTGCATGAATTGGTTATGATTGTGCTGCCTGATGTTTGAGTTTTGAGAGAAGGTTTTTGCTTAAAGTGTAGTTTTAAAAATCTATTATGGTGAAGAGGTACATGCAGGGTGTCATAAAGCAAAATAGTAACCAAAATGTATTTTTTGTTTTTCAGATTTAGCTCTATTTTAAAATTCAAAAGATTACATATAAACGCTCGGAAGGGAAGGTTCCAATGTAGGTTCATTGGTTGTTGGTTATATATTAACTTTGTAGATATTGAGACCCCTGGTTCCTATCAACATCACTGTAAAGAAAAGCTGAGTTGATGGATTACTCAACAGTGTGCCATTTCACATCAGAACACTCTGAATGACTTTGTTTATCTCGGTGACAGAATTATGGAGAGATTTTGAAAAATTGGTGGTAGCCTTTTGATGCTAGCATGGTTCAGAGTGACAGAGAAGAGATTAGATAATTGCAGTTAATGTGGGGTTACATTTATATTGACAGCTGAGCCATGCATTTAAGCTGATGTGTAAAACTAACATCAGCAAACATGCTAATGGACCCACCTGTGTGGTGCTGAGCCCTGTGTCACTGTGACTAAAACATGCAGCATGCCAGGCTACTTGCCTTGCTATACAGACATGCTGTTGTTGTCCATGTTCACTGTAGAGTACCATGTTCAACATTGAAGTCTGTGCTATGCAGCCTGATTATAGTTTTTCTCTGATCTGCTTCTTGCTACAGATACATTTCATACTGTTCATACTGTTTTCAGTCTGATTCTATATAGAAAATCAGCCTATTTTACATGCAGGCACTTCAAGCATCTGAGACTGATTTGAAAGCTGTCTAATCATGAGAAAAACAAGTGTAAAAGAAACCAAGATGCTTTGCAGACAGATTGTCTATCTGACCACTTCAGGAGGTTGTTGGAGATGCATTGGAGATGTTGGAGAGTCAAGTGTGAAAGTTTTTGTTTTTCAAGCTGCGTATGTAACCTTTATTTCTTCCAAATGGAGCTACATTAGTACTGTATATCAAGATCTTTCTTTAGTGAAATTAATCACAGACAAAAAGGAAAAGCTGGTAGCACTTTATTGTATGGTAAGGTAAGTGAATATGTAGTACTTACAAGCAATTTTCTGGTGTATATCTTGTACATATATAGTACGTGCCAGGTATGTACAGCAGTACTTGAACAGAATTTAATGACAGGTAATATGTGGTGCATAGTTTGCAAGTTCAATAAATAATCACTGTGAGAAAGTCAGGTATAAATCAGCATTTGATGCTAAAAAGTTGTACAACCAAACTGCTATAGCAGATACATGCCCATGTGATGTACACCCCCATTTCCAAAAAAAGTTGGGATGCTGTGCAAATTTTAAATAAAAACAAAATGCAATGATGTGCAAATCATTTAAACCCTATATTTCATTGAAAATAGTATAAAGACAACATATCAAATGTTGAAACTGAGAACTTTTATTGTTTTGTTCTTTAAATATATGCCCAAGTTGGGACAGGGGCAACAAAAGGCTGGTAAAGTTGTGTAATGCTAATAAAAACACTTGCTGTTGATTGGCAACAGGTCAGTAACATGATTGGGTTTAAAAAAAGAGCATCTCAAAAAGGTTGAGTCTTTCAGAAGTAAAGATGCAGAGAGGTTCACCACTCTGACAAAGACTGCACAAGCAAATAGTGCAACAATTCAAGAATAACATTTCTCAACATAAAATAGCAAAGAACTTTTGCTTTTCATCATCTAAGCACATAATATCATAAAAAGATTCAGAGAATCTGGAGAAATCTCTGTATGCAGGGGACAAGGCCAAAAACGAGCATTTGCTGGCCATGATCTTTGGGCCCTCAGGCAGCACTGCATTAAAAACAGACATGATTCTGTAGTGAAAATCATTGCATGGGCTCAGAAACACTTCTGAAAACCACTGTCTGTGAATACAGTTCATCACTGCATCCACAAATGCAAATTAAAGCTCTAAAACGCAAAGCAGAAACCACATATAAACAGGATCCAGGAACGCTGCCACCTTCTCTGGGCCAGAGTTCATTTAAAATGGACTGAGGGGAAGTGGAAAAGTGTCCTGTGGTCCAACGAATCAACATTTGAAATTCTTTTAGGAAATCATGAACGCTGTGTCCTCCGGGCTAACGACAACTCAGCTTGTTATCAGCATACAGTTCAAAAGCCAGTATTCATGATGGTACAGGGGTACATTAGTGCACATGTTATGGGTGACATGCACATCTGTGAAGGCACCATTAATGCTGAACGATATTTACATGTTTTGGCAACATCTGCTGCCATCCAGACAGCATCCTTTTCAGGGAAGGCCTTGATAATTTCAGCAAGACAAGGACAAACCACATTCTCCATGTGTTACAACAGCATGGCTCTGTATTAAAAGAGTCCGGGTGCTAAACTGGCTGCCTGCAGTCCAGACCTGTCACCACTGAAAACATTTGGCGCATTATGGTGACCCGCACAAAAGGTGACCCAGAACTGTTGAGCAGCTGAAATCCTGTATCAAGTAAGGAAGGGAAAACATTTCACTTTCAAAACTACAGCAGTCGGTCTCCTCAGTTACTAAACACTTACAGAGTGTTTTTAAAAAAAGAGGTGATAAAACACAGTGGTAAACATGTTTTTTTGGACCGTGTTGTTGGCATTAAATTCAAAATGGGCATATATTTTTCAAAAAACAATAAAATTTCTCAGTTTCAACATTTGATATGTTGTCTTTGTACTATTTTCCTTTAAAAATGGATCATGGTTTACATGATTTGTATATCATTGCATTCTGTTTTCATTTACATTCTGCACAGCGTCACAACGTTTTTTGGAAATGGGGTTGTAGAAGAGTAGGTTACAGGTAGAGTTGACAAAGAGATAGCAATTGTAGGGTGCCTACCACTGAGTACTCAGTGAGTACCTTTTTCCAGTGCATTAATACATTCCATATTAATTGGTATATTGGTATTTTGAGTTATGGCTACACTCTTCATGCCACAAAGATGAGAACATAGGTAGTTGCTGTGTCATTAATATACAAAGATACACTTTATTTTACAGTCCTGTTACCACAGAATTACAGTGGACGTACTTGTGAACATACCAATTAATGTGGAACAAATTACTCTACTGGACAAAAGGTACTTTATCTTACTCTGTACTTATCTATCATACATGTTTACATGTATTTACTGAAGTGGTTTGTATTACTTACCACTGTTTTGTAACTTATATATACCTGGTATTTCTTACATAAGTTATTTTGTGCTCACATACTGAACTCGCAAAGGATGTACCAAATAGTACTTGTAAGTACTATATATTTACCATTAACCTCTGAGTAAGTATTGCTGTACATAACTGGTACTTTCATAAGTTACTGTGTACATGCAAAGTATGTACCAGAAATTACTTGCAAATACTAAATATTTACCTATTAAATAGTAGTTACTTACCATATCGTAAAATATTGAAAAGGGCGACGGAAAGCTGTATATAACTACTGTCACCTTTTACACTGTAAAGGATATTTATGAATGAAAAAACTTGTTTTCAGAAAAGATGTTTTTTCAAGCGTTCTTTAATAAAGCCAATGGTTCTATTTAGAATCGTAAGTTGTTATGCTTAGATGGTTCTTTGCATGGTGAAATGGTTTTCTAGATTGATGAAGAGTGTGTTGTACACTGTTCTGTACAGCACCGAAAAAATGGTTCTTCAATTGTTATGATGTCAAGCTTGTAACAATAGAAGAACCCATTTTGGTGCTGTATAGAACCATTTTCAAAAAGGCTCCCTATAGAACCATATACAACACGTTCTTCATCAATCTAAAGAACAATTTCACCATACAAAGAATCATTTAAGCATGCATTTGGTTCTAGAACTCTAATAGAACAGTTGTCTTTACTAAAGAACCCTTGGAGAACGATCTTTTTTTAAATGTGTAACTGAAAGGCCTGAAGTTATAAGTACCATAGTACAGCATAGTGACTGTTTATATAGCCTTTTTTGTAGAATGTTTATACCCAGTGTATGTTTTAGTTGCAGGGTTTAAATTAAAAAAGGACAAATTGACCATTGCTACTACTCAAATTGTCCATTTTTTTTCTCATCCGAGTGTTTATAAAAACAAATCAGACTTGATGTTAAGGTTCCACTGCATTACAAATCTCATCCATTTTTTCCAATTAATTCTGATGCATAACAAACAGTTATGCAACTAAATTTCTGTGCCGTCCAGCATCATGACAAAAAGATTCCGAAAGAGAATTCCTTGAACTTGGACTTATGATGCCAGAAGTAAATAGAATGTGGATAAATCTTATCTGGAAGTTATCCAGATATGAGATGCATGAAATGACAAGTGTAAATAGGCTCAGGAGAAAACTCTCAGTTTTGTGTCCTCAGCAGTAAGATTGCAAGTTTGAACCTCAGTGTTTTTTAGACATTTATTGTATGTTAATTTATAGCTTTTGGTCTTGTATGCCACTGATAAACATTAATTTTCCAAGCAAAATAAAAGGCTCTGTAGTTCAAACATGCATAAGCAAAGCACTCGTAGAATGCATGGTCAGTCTATCAGAGAAGTTTTTGTTCTTTTCAGCTGAAATTGGTTTAGTCTGGGCAAATAGATGTTGCGTGAGTGGTTATGCTGAGCTGCAACATAAATTGTAGCATAGCATAAGCATAACCATCAAAATCAACCAGCTGTCCATAGACTTTAAAACCACTAATCATCTGTTCCTCTGCTGGTTTGAGTTTAAAAACTGTAATAGTGTTTTATTTGTGGATGACAGTTCTGTGCATGAGTTGCGTTGGCCTTCCCAGCTATCTATGTGGCTCTGTTGGTTTTTAACTACAGTGCAGTACATATGCTGGAAGAAATGAAATATTTCACAGTCTGTCATATTAATGTCTCTCTCCTTCCCCACTGATTCATTGATTATTAATTCTAAGCATTTTGCAAAACACATTATAATCCTGCATGATTAATTGTGCTTAACAGAGTATGTATAATATTTATTGCTTACATTGATCAATTAAGTCGCAATACGGCATTATATTATGTCAGATTGTGGGATTGACCCTTCTTGTAGTAAGTACTATAATCTAACCCAGCAGATTACTCACGCCTTTAAATTAAGACTTGACTGTTTGGCATATATACAGGCTGGCTCTGAATTAGCATGCTGGATTTGCTAGGCTCACCGCTGTTGCCAAAGAACAGTGACAAATCAAGTTGATCTGTTTTCTCCTGGATATTTGGCCAGTTATGTATGGAGAGATTGCTTTCTCTCATGAGCATTTATGATGACTGTGTCAGTAATAGCACTTGGCTGAACTCTACTCTGTTGTCCTGCATTGTCCCCTCATGGGCTGCCTTGCTGTAATGAGCACATCTTCAGTGTGAGACTCGCCCAAAAATGTCACATGCTTGCATCCATATAAATAAAAGGAGACAACTATACACAATATCAAAAAACTTAGGGTATTCTGGGTGTGTGTAACTCGCTGGTATACAGCACTGTGAAAAACTCAAACAGCATTCCTTCGTTTATTCAGTTTCCAGTCAGAACAGCCATCAAGTACAAGTGATTTTTCAGGAAGTATTTCTGAGGAGATTACATATAAGATCACTGACCATAAGAAAGAGAAAAGTCAAAAGAAAATAAGTGAAACAGGAGTTTCCAAAAATGGAGTTCAAAAAATTATTTAAAATACAGAGAAAAGTGATTCTTAACATCCATGCAAGACCTGTTTGACCAAAGCTGTCCCCATCAGATAAACAGTACTTAAATCTTTCATCTTTGAGAGAGAGGAGAAAATCAAGCTCCACTCTTGCTTCAGATCTGAAAAAATCTAGAGGTGTTTCTGTCCATCCTTCCACTGAGAGAAGACAGCTTAGCACTATGAGTCTGAAAAGATAGCTGTCCGGAAGCTGTTACTGAGAAAAGGAAATAGACAAAGAAGAACATTTGCAAGTCAAACAAAGAAGCTGCTGGTGTTCTCAGAAAAATGGACTGACCACCCCAGAGTCCAGACCTTAACATCACTGAATGTGTTTGAGATTGCTTGGATCATAAAAAGCAGAAAATACAACCAACTTCTAAGGCTGAACTTTTGAAGTCTCGAGAAACATCTGTGCAGATTTCTTTAAAAAACTGAAAGTAGGTGCCACAAAAAGAGTGGAAGCTGTAATAAAGACAAAGAATGGACACTAGGTACTAGAAAAAAGAGACCTAGTTGTTGAGGTTTCTATGTAGTTTTCTGTTAAAGATCATCATCAGTTGTTCCTGATGATGAAAAATGAATAACTTGTACTTAATGGCCTGGAAGTTAAATAAATGAAGGGCAGTCTCTGACGTTTGTACAGTAGTGAAAAATATATGCCTGTCAAATTTTCTGGTCTGTTTAAAATGGAATAAAATAAGTTTTGTGTATTGAAACTGAGGCTCATTATGAGAAAACAGTGCTAGGTCTTCCAAAGATTCCAGACTATACAATAAATGTATATGTGATCTTAACAGAACTGTATGCACTGTATTTATACTAAATATGCATGGTTGTTTTTTTTTCTTGCAGGTATCTCCATTTCAACAACATTGAAGCTTTAGAACCTGAAGCCTTCACTCATTTGCCCAAGCTTGAACGACTGTGAGTTCATCAAAGATATCATCTCTCTGACCACTTGCCTTAGCATCCTTTCAGGATGGCTTTTTGATGTTAATGAGCCTTTGGAATCAAGATCAAAACAACTAATGCTGAATAGCCTTTGAGAAAGATGGTAATCCTGTTTGTTTTGAGAGCTCAATACCCTGGCATTGATGGTGAATTGAAAAACACTTAATGGTTCCAACATGACACTGGAGTGTCTTAATTTTTTATGGAGCTGCACTTGGATGACCTTTTATTTGCTCTCAGATTCCTGTAAACTCAGGACCAGTAATCCTTTAAATGAGTCCCTTGTGATTGCTAGGTTTCAAAAGTTGCGATGTTTTTCTTGGTAGTAAATGTGAATTGGCTTCACATGGCGATATGGAGACAGCTGTAGTCCTAAAACACGTGACTATTGCCTTTACTGTCTCAAACATTTGTGCGTGGGGTGTTAGTTTTTTAAGAAATACTTACAACTTTTAGTGCACCAATTTTTGTATGGAGAAGCAAAAATCTGTCAGCTTTAATTTTGTACCATTTCTATTGGTCCATTTGTTATTAACACATAATAAATATATAATATGTCAAATTGTGTCTCTTGGTATCTTCTGATTCCAGAAAAATTGTTCTGTTCCCATCTGGACAGATTATTTGTTGTAGCTCAGGCTTACTTCCTCCAAAAATTGTATGTGAGTCAGAGTTGATACCTCTCTAGACTAACAATGGAGATGACCATTAGAAATAATCCTTCCCTTTTTCTCCCCCCTCCCTTTCCTCATGGGTTCCATACCAGATGTTTGGAGTTTGGTAGCAGATCTGAATCCATTTTTTTCCAACTCTGTTTATAGGCAGTGTTCTGGAATCTAGCTACACACTTTTTGAAGTCTCCAGAAAGCAGGATGGAGGAGCCACCTGGGCTCACACAAAGAAAGAGGGGTCTTACAGACCTCCAGGTTCAGGAAGGGCTGCTAATAATGCTGGAAAAGAAAACAAGGAATTTTTCATACAGATGCAGTTTTAAATGGAAACTTTGGGGCAGTGTAGGTTAATTTAGCCAGTAAGGGCGATGTCTCCTGTCTCAGCCAATGCATAATGACAGATGGCACTATTCATTGAATACTGAATAATATTGTCTGTTTTTAATAATGCGGTTGAATAACTGGTGATGGAGGCTGTATGGAGCTCCAATACATGTTTGGTAAAGAGTGACAGAGTTCATTACACAGTCTCTGGGAAAACCCATATTTATTCCTGTACAAAAATAAGAGTGTCTCGGAGGACTTGCCTTCCGGAGAGCATATAGTCATCACAGCTGAGATTAGACCATTGTCTAACTTCAGAAGAAACCTCTGACACCCAGTTTAAATGCAGAAAACAGATGCGATTGTTTACCTCTGTGAAAGGACCTATAGAAGCAGTAGTCACTGAAATAATGACAAGAAGTAATTTGTTGATTGTAACAACTACTACAGAGAAAGAGACTGTAATTTATGTGCATTATATAAATATTCGTAACACTTTGTCCTTCTTTTGCAGGTTTTTGCACAACAATAGAATAACACACCTTGTACTGGGGACCTTCTCCCATCTGCAGTCCATGAAAAGACTGTGAGTGCTTATAGCTGAAAGTTTGAATGCAAACCACAGTGTAGGACAGGAAGGTCACATGATGCAGGACAGTGTCTTATTCTAAGAGCCAAGCATTATACACAATTGCCCCTCACTGTCTGTAAGCCACTGATAAACTGGGCCTTATTCAGATGTTAAGGCATTGACCATAGTGCACCTGTCTCATGTCGAGCCAAAGTAATTCTACTAAGGAAACTGGACAAAGGAAGAATGAAAGCAATTAAGCAGAATGAATGGAAGCTATTAGTGGTATTTTAATAGGACTGTTCTTGAAGATTCAATGCCAAACCACTTACATTCATGGGGTGGGTTACCTTGCCTAATAGTGTTTTCTTTTATTCAGCATTTTCATTGTCTTTTGTTAAGAAAGAAGTCTTTAGAAAAAAGTTTTACCTTTTTAATGAATCACACCAGGGTCACTTAGGACTAGACATAATATTAATATACAGTAAAGCAACAAGCAACAATGACTGAAATATACAATATGTGTATATGATATGCTGTATCAGTTAGTAAACACTGACTGCCCTTTATTGTTGACTAACCGATAGCATTAAGCTAGTCGGGGGTTGATTTTGTTGCAGTTAATGTATCTGACTGGAGCCTTAATGAGACCTGCTTGTGTCTGTGCAGACGTCTGGACTCAAACACACTGAACTGTGACTGTGAGCTACTGTGGCTGGCAGATCTACTGAAGCAGTATGCAGAGTCTGGCAACGCCCAGGCAGCCGCCACCTGTGAGTACCCAAGCCGACTGCAGGGACGCTCTGTGGCCACTCTCACTGCGGAGGAGCTCAACTGTGGTAAGGCCATTCACACACTATTATATACACCTAATTGTGCTTATATCAGCAGCCCAGAGCAGGAGTATATAAGGCCCTGTCTGGAACAGCTCTGAAGTTCAAAGTGTGGGTGAATGTTTCCTTGAATGGAACTGTGGATGATGCGAGGGATATGTTGAGTTGCTGGAAAGGTCACAGCGGGTCACATCATTTTTGTTGGTATTTTTAAAATGTGGCACTGCTTGTTCTTCTTTTCCAATGTATCAAACCCCAGAAATACTAAATGTAGGTAGCCATGTGTCGTAGAAAAAATCTTCTAATAACATGATGTTAAATTTCATATTTCATGATGTTTATAGCCGCCCCTAATTTACAAGTATAGTATCAATCCATAACATCAGTTGATGGAGAGAAATAATCAAAAGAGTGAGCAACAGAATTAGCAGAATTAAACAAAGTGTAAGAATAGGTCTATATACCATGGGGGACCTATGAGGGTTAAAAACCCTACAGTATTTTCTTCTGTGCCTAACTTTCAATGTGCATGTTCAAGACTATGTTGTAGATCTTCTCTAGTATGATCCATGCTAACCCACACTGTTTTTCTGCACACAGACAAACACTTATAATGAAAATAAGAACTGAGTAATGCCTTTGTCTCTCATGCTATCCTGTAGCATGTGATATTCAGGGGGTCTTAAAGCATGCTAGCTTCTTTGGAGTGTAACGGGTGCTGTAGTGGTTTAGTAGGGTGTGTAAGAAGTGAGTTTCCAGATGTAACACTGTTAGGATATTTAGCCTCCTACTCATAGACTGTTCTGCCAGAGCAGGTAGTGGGTCAAATGCAACTCCCCAAGTCTCAGGCATCTGCTAAGCAAATGAAGGTCAAGCCTACAGGGCTTTCTTTGGAGGTAGGGCTGTCAACAGCAAAGCAGGCCAGGCATCGGACTAATTCATATCAAGTTATTTCCTTTACCTAGCAACGGGGGGCTTTTTTTCTTGCTAAAGCAAGTTTCTTCATGTTTCACTAACAAAGAGTTTGAAAGCTTTCGTGCTGCCTTCAAGTAGTTGTATGTAATCCACATTTTTGTTTCAGAGTTATATTTAAGATCACACAGCGGTTGCCCGTTTACTACAAGAGAGCCACAAACCACTGTAGCTAATTTGCTAGGCAGGCTTGCCCATGCTTGTTAGCGTAATCCATCCCTTAATGTCTCCATAGGCTCCATAGTGGAATGCCTCTGAACACCATCTCACTCTCCCCCACTCTCTGCTCAGGAACAATGCACAGCCAGCTCCAGCAGCTGTCAAAACACGCCACGGCTCAGCGAGACGCTGCCACCCTGGGAGGCAGCAGGCCTGTGTCGCAGGCTGGTGGCATTTTGAGTGTGGCTGGCAAACAGGGCTGTAATTACAATGTCACACAGTGTTAATGGGGTGAGCAGTAGTCTATAGTGCAGAGAGGGCAGGCAGAGTGCCCGCACAGCCATGAACATTCAACCCACACTGTGCTTTCCATGGCATTTTAAGATGGCAGAGCGGGAATGTTTTTATGTGGGTTTGTGCAAGCGAGTTTTTCTTTGTTGGTTTTCAGTTTAGATCTTGCCATTTTTCTTTATAAGAACTACAAAATTGAAGAAACAGCTGACAAACTTAATACCTTAGGAATAATTTCAAACCCCATTCATTTTATCCTCTTGTGATCTCTTATCAGCACTCCAACCTTTTCAGCTAGCTGTTTGAACCATTTTTGGGCTATAATATTTCAAAATGTGCTTTTAACAATAGTATGGAAAAGAATTTGGACAAAACCTGCTCGTCATACCAATAAGACGCCGATTCACATGAAGCTTAGTGTTGCAAATACATTCAAAGTATTTGTAGTAGTTTAAAATGAAACTTTAAACATGAATTATAAAGATAAACAAAACTTAACTGTGTAACTGAGAGCAGCAGGCAGTCATTCTAGACAATAAGTGTTGTGCCCTCCCCCCCAGAATGTTGGCTTCTTGTGTTTGTTCACAACAGTAGCCTCAAAGCTTCAGTTTAAAACTAAAGAAGCAAAATTTGGACACCAAATATTTTGTGTCTGATAAATTAGTAAATAGCTGTTTTATGTTAACAAAATCTCAAAAATGTACATGGTGTAAGATGGCGAGGTGTCCTCAAACTTTTGATAGGCCTTGTAAGACAAAGGAATGCAATATTTTTAATGGAATTTAAAAAAGAAGAATTGTACTCCTCTTGCTGTCTCTGTGTAGAATAGCATGATGGTGATGGGGTTACAGATAAATAAAACCCTTTCACTTTGTCTTATTGGGATTAAATGGAATAAGAAGCCACTACAAACCTGTCTCCTTTGTGGGAATCCTAAAGTGAACTGAAGCCTTGGCTTAGGAGTTTTTCATTACAGCCTTTCATACAGTTGTTTCAGGCTGTGTTAGTACATGCTGTAATAGATGTAATGGCATTAGTGTTGGGTAAACCCCTACATTTGGCACGCAGTAGTTGTCAACATGTCCTTAGTCACCACTGGTCTGGTGTTGAGCCGAGACATCATGGTTGCCCTGTCAGGCGGCCAAGGGAGCCATGCGGCAGAGAAAGGATTCCTGTCCAGCTGGCATGGACATCATCATCACCAACCAGCTGGCCTTCTATGGAGTGATTCTTTCTGTAGCCTTCCTATAGTCCTAAAACTAAATGTTCCTAGCTTGTTCTTGGCTTGGACGAACAGTTCTCGCACAAAAACGTTCCTTGGGGATAAGGTTTTGTGTTATATGGAGGTTCTTCAGTCTTTACAAAGGCTCTTCACACTCACGCTTCACATTTACAATAATGGTTCCTCAAAGAACCTTCCTTAGAAAGGTCTTTTAGGAAACTAAGAGTGGTTCTTCTATGAAATTGTTCCAAAGAACCTTTTTTTGGGACCTTTACTTTTTTTTTTGTTTTTGTTTTTTTTAGAGTTTAGTCTTATAATGTTCTCTTTCTTTCTCTCCTTTTCTGTTCTCCACCCCACCCCCTTCTCTTTTCCCCACATTTTGTTGACCTTCCCCCACCCGTCTCATCGCTGTACTGCGTGTAGAGATGCCCCGGATCACGTCCGAGCCGCAGGATGTGGACGTGACGTCAGGGAACACAGTGTACTTTACATGCAGGGCTGAGGGCAACCCCAAGCCCCAGATCATCTGGCTGAGGAACAAGTAAGAACAACGTGTAGATTCATATTTACGTTTTTTCAATCCTTTCATGTAAGGATAGGAAATATGACAGCGTTATCATTCTACGTTTTTCACCATTTCAGTACAGTCTGTGTGATGCATTCAGAGTGGTTTGATGTGAACTGGTTCATCGTAGAGAAATTTACAGACTCAAATCTTTTTATAGTAATAATGATGGGAACCAGGAGTTGTGATGTCTAAGCCTTATTGCCCTGGTTTTTCTGCCTTGACAATCCTCAGGAAGTGATCTCATTGTGGTTTCTTGTAAAAATTTCATCTGATCAAGCTGCAGAATTGAAAGTGGCTCATATTTGATTGGAAATCAGACAGAATTTCTACATGATCTGGAAAACTCAGAAAAGTCATCTGGAAAATAAGAAAATTGATAAAATGTCCTGGAAATATTAGTGAAGTCCTAGAAAATTGTAAAGGGGCCATTAAGCCATCATGCAATTTTTTAGCACATCTTTGCTGTCAGAACAAAACCCATTTTTTTTTTGTTGTTTAGTTGTTGTTTTAAGTTTTAGATGTTTGAAGACAGCAGCCGTCTAAATTTCACGACAAAAGACCAATAGAAATGGTCCCAAATGATGTAGAATTGCACCTTATTAAGCTTACATTGAAAGGTATAAATACTATTTCCTACACCTGATTATGCTGAGATTGTTAAAAGTGGTACAGTTCCACGTTAAAGAACTCTGACTAACTGCAAAGAGAGCATAATTAGGCCTGGTTAATTGTGCAGCGCAGTATGTGAAACATTAATTAAAAATCATTGTCTTCATAACTTTTGATCATTTTTTAGAACCACTGATTATTTTTTATCTGTTCAGGCTTATCAGACCTCAAAAAAAATGAATGTTGTTATGCATTTAGTGTATTGTATAAAAATAAATGTCTTGAAGTATTGCGATGTTATATTTTTCCCTTTATTGCCCACCCCTACTTAATACAGGGGTGTTTTGCTAACCATCATACCAAGCAACAAGCCTAACAATCACCATGGCAGTGTAACGTTATTGTCAAAGATCATTATTATTATTATCACTAATCTGAAAAAAAAATATGGGGGACATGCACATGATGGGAAGAATGAGGTTACAGGCCACTAGTGACTCCAGATATGTCTTAAGGGTTAAAAAATGGCATGATTTACTAAGGATTATAGTCTCTCTTTTACTTATATATTAAGCATATTAGTCCTGTCGTAACAAATACTAGCAGCTCCAGATTGGAAACACAATGTAAAGGGTAGCTAACATTTTCAGATGGTACATAATAAAAACAGTATAAAAAAGTTATGAGGTTTTGACATGATGGTAACAATTTATTGCACATAGTTTATAAAGCTGATGTGTCTTTTGGAATTGATCATCTTTCATCTTCCTCTATTTTCACAGCAATGCCCTTAACATGCGAGATGATACCCGTCTGAATCTTCTGGAAGATGGCACCCTTATGATTCAGGACCCGAGGGAGACTGACCAGGGCGTGTATCAGTGCATGGCCAAAAATGTTGCCGGCGAGGTTAAAACTGGAGAAGTCACCTTGCGGTACTTTGGAACTCCATGTGAGCCCTCTAGGAGTCTAGTGCTCCTCTCTTCCTCTCTGAATGGTCCATAAATACACGGCTTTCAATTTAGATGCTGAGATCTACCAGATGTTCAGCATTTCCTGTTTGTGCCTTTGGCATTCACTGTGTATGTTTCACTGTCATTCCATGTAGGTCATAATCCAGATCCGTACAGAGTTCTCCAAACTTCAAACTGCTGAGTCTGAAGTTAGGAGAACTTGTCATTTTGGCGATGTTTACATTATAAGCCTTACTGACCACATCTTTCTGTCTTGACAGTTCATGGGAAATGTTCTCACTGTGCATGGCCGCTTATTAGTTACGTATCTGACCAAGAAGCAGATTTGAAAGTGGTTCAAACCTGATTGGAAAAGATCAAACAGGGTTTCCACATGACCTGTAAACCTGGAAATAGAAAGACTAGTTTTCCAGATGTGAAAAACACTTGTAAAATAAGAAAATTGAAAAAATGTTAGCGAAGTCCTAGAAAAGTATACAGGTGGACAATTAAGCCATCAGGATTGCATTTTTAGCATATCATCACTGTTGGAACAAAACCTTTAACATCATTCTGTTTTTTTTTGTTTTTTTGGACATAATTTGAAAACATCAGCTGCCCTCTACAATGTATCAGTAGAGGTACTAAAAGAAACAGTCCAAAATGGCACAGAATAAAAATCTTTTTACCTTAACTTCCATTGATTGAAAGTTAAATATAGTTTTTCCTCGTCCTGTAAAGATACATTTTTTGGAGATATGAGGTTTTGTTCCGACAGTGACAATATTTTAAGCTGTCCATTCTTATCTATTGTGGTTTGGAATACTACAGTGTCACATGTCGACAGATAATAGATGCTGTGTTGGAAGGCCTGGTAGAGTAAGGCTACATTAACACATACTGGCTTCTTCAGTGTGTAACGTTCATTTCTAATATTCCATTATTTCATTAGAGGTTGTATTGTTGACTTTAATGTTAAGGATGTCAGCAGTTGTGCGTCATTTTGATGTGTCGTGTACATTCCTGGAATTTGCCCTTGCAAGTGATTACCTAAAAAATAATAAACAGATTTTTATGTTCACAAGCCTTGAAAAAGTAAAATCTAGGCAACAATTTCAGTTTCAATTTCAATCAAATTTATACCAATTAAACTATGTAATGTGAACACATTTGTTACAAAAAAGAGGAAATTTAAAAATAAAACGAGGGCACCTAAACAAACATACAATGCCATTTTACACCCGGCTTATAGCTAACCTTCAGCAGCTGCAGTGTGAAAGCTTGTTTCTTATTAAATCAAATCAAGTCAAATTTTTATTCATTTACAGATTGAATTTCTGTCGCAGAAGTGAAAAACATGCATTTACCTGCTTTTACTTTTCACCTTGTTATCCTGTGCAGCTCGGCCCAGTTTTGTGATTCAGCCGCAGAACACGGAGGTGTTGGTGGGAGAGAGCGTGACTCTGGAGTGCAGCGCTACAGGCCAGCCTCAGCCACGGGTGTCATGGACCAGAGGAGACCGCAGCCCCTTGCCCAGCGATGTTCGCATCAACATCACCCCCTCAGGGGGTCTCTATATCCAGAATGTTAACCCAGCTGATGAGGGCCAGTACACCTGCTTCGCCAGCAACAACGTGGACACCATTCACGCCACTGCATACATCATAGTGCAGGGTAAGATCAGTGTTTTTAATTCTCTTCAAGAAAGGATAATATTAGTGTTGGTGTAATACAGTAATTAACATCAGTTAATTATCATCAGTTTTCTTATAATATGTTATTTTCGTTAAAGTTGCTCTGAAGTGCTGTGCATCAGTGGGAACATATATGGCAACAAGATAAAAGACAAAAAAAGAAACCAACAAAGGTTCAATTCTGTTTACTCTCTCACTTCTAAAACTAATGCTGATTTAGTCTAACTATAAATCAATTGCACCTCTCTGTACATGTTTCTGCCCCAGCTGTCCCTCAGTTCACAGTGACCCCTCAGGACCAGTCTGTGCTTGAAGGCCATACGGTGGACTTCCGTTGTGAGGCCACAGGGTATCCTCAGCCGGTCATAGCCTGGACACGCAGCGGTAAGACGACATAATGGACTCTTATCTGTCAGACTCCTAAGGGAGGAGTAAAAGAAATGACCGAAAGGAATTTCAGGCAGTCACCTTTAATCCTTAGAAATCTAGAGTTATTGTTGTTATTTTGCTGTTTGTTTGAGTTATATTACATATTTGTTGTGTGTAATCACATAATTAAATGCATAGTTCATTATGTGTTCAATTACCTTTATTCTATTTTCATGTTGCAGTCTTTTTCTGTTTTGTTTCTAACAAAAAAGTATAGTTTATCTTTCTGCAAAACAAAACTGCACACACAACGAGGTTTAATCAGTGTCAAATTTTATTAAATCTCTTGTACTTAAGAACACAAATGTGGTATCCACTAAAAATGTATAATCTGCACTTTTGACAGAAATTCTTTGCTTGTTCTAATGAGCTACAAGTGAGAAATAATTAAACAAAATGTAAAAAAAAAATCATCTCTAGTCATGAAGAAGCTAGGGAATAATAGAAACCATAGTTACATATTTTATCCCAGGCACATACAGCAGTGCTTTTTTAAGCATAAAAATAAGTATCATAGTCTCATAATTTTTTACTGTATATGTTTCACTGTCATCCCATACAGGTCATCCAGATCTGTACAGGTTTTTCCAAACTTCAAACTGCTGAATCTGAATTGCGAGAACTTTTTTACTTTGGCTACATTCACATTATAAGCTTTATTGCCCAGATCTTTCTGCCTCGACAGTTCATAGAAAACATTCTTATTGTGATTGTATGGCCACTTATCCAATACATACCTGATCAGGAAGCGTATATTAAAATGACTCAAATCTGATTGGAAAATATCGGACAGGGTTCCCACATTACCTGAAAACCTGGAAAAGTCATAGAAAACACCTGGAAAATAAAATGAATAACATGTCCTGGAAATATTAATAAACTCTTAGAAAAGTTTAAAGGCGAGTCAACCTTAGGCACTAGCAGCCTTAGTTACATATTTCATCCCAGGCTCACACAGCAATTAATTTATTAATAATTTTAAGCATAAAAATATTTTTTTTTTCCTAGAATGCAAATATCAGAATGTGAATGTCCAATAAAACTTTTCTTTTTCTGTCACAGGTAGTTCTCTCCCAGGTGACAGGCGTCACGTGGTCCTGTCCACTGGCACCCTGCGTATTTCCCGTGTGGCACCTCATGACCAGGGCCAGTATGAGTGCCAGGCTGTCAGCCCTGTTGGCTCTGTTAGAGCAGCTGTGCAACTTAACATCCAACAAAGAGGTAAGATTTAATCTCTAACCTAGCAATCTTCCATCTGCACTCTTGATAGAACACACACTATATTTACTAATATTTACTTGACCTTAAGTACACATCGTGCATGATAGTGTCTGAGCTGTGTTTTTAACAGGGTTTTTATACTTCCCTAGTGATTTAAACATACCAGCGATAGTTTTAGGCAGGCCCTTCACAGACATTTTGGGGACAGGAGCTAAATGTAAAACCTGAACATAGATTAAACTTAAATTAATCCACAGCACATAGAAGACACTCTTTTTACTCGTTTTAAGAGCTCCACAGCTATTTTTTATTTTTTTTTTTTACAATAACACAGACTTGGAATTTCCAGTGCTGTGGTGATGTGTGCATTCGTGACAGGTCGAAGTTAACTGAAGCAGAATCATCCCAGGCACTCAGTACTGCACCAGAGGGGGTGCCTTAGAGCGATGAAGCTTGTGGTACCTGAGCCGACCCATTCCAGGGGCAAAAGTTGATCTTGAAGAATGGCCATGTAAATCACAATTATTATACATGCTGACCAAGACAACACTTGTACAGTCTGACAGGATAAGCACAGGGGCTCAAGCCCCCAAGGATCTCTCTGTTTAAGTACCTGGTTTTAGGTACATCTAGGTAAACGTTACTTCTATATAAATGTATGCAGTGAAGCAAAACAACGTTAGTCAAGGAGCTCTGTGCAAGATACAAGACACTCAGTACAAGTAACCGAGACATAGACTACATATACTGAAGCTAAACAAGACTATGCTGGGCAGTATTTAATCACAGTACAGTAAATACACACAATGCAACACACAAAGTAAGAGCCTCTTGTGAGCCAGTTCACTGGTAAGGTGAAAGAAGCAATAAGATAGCAAAGATAGCAATAAGATGGCCAAAGACCAGAGTCTTTGTTTTGCCAGAACTACACCCACTTATTTCCTGCTGCCTGAGCTTCATGACTCATGCAAATTCGCCGATTTAAGTTAAAGTTTCCCATGTGCTGATGTGAATAAACAGCAAAACATTATTTCTTTGTTTATACATCTTTTTGGCATGAAGAATGCATAAAACTGACTTGCAGTAATGTTTTCCAGTCCCACTCTGACTGCACATTAACTATACCACATTTGATTAGAGCTAAAAAGACTGCTTTGGAAATATTGACTTCAAACATTCCCAAGGTTAGTCCTGGGTGGTATTGATTAAATACAGCATCATGGTATTTTACAAATGTATTACAGTATTAAGTTGTACATTTATTTGTTAATAGAGTTAATAAACGTATATGTTCTTAGTGCTGGTTTTATGTGCTTAAGCAACTTCTTACAAGCCCAGCTTGTTTTGATTTAACTGTTTTGTTCCACTTTCCTTTCTTAAAATTACCCAAGGGGTCCTAACTCAGTATTATAAGCCAGAGTTAACCAGTAAATCAGACAGAAACCCAATTTAGCGTTTATGCTTTTTGGATCACAACAGGTAAAAGCATTACAATTAGCCAGTATGAACGACATATTGCCTAGAACTTTCCTAGGTGTTGACCACCCCCCATATAAACATTACAAGGGTCCACAAGTTACGAAAAAGTTAGAAAAAGAATACGATGTCATTTAAAGTCATGACCCCTGTAATCCCCCCAAGTTGTTGGGCATGAAGTCAAGCTTTCATTTGCAGAGTGGACTGATGAAAAGAAAGGCTCTGTGTGCTTCTTCTGTGAAAGCTGAACCTCAGCACTTTCTCAGCACCAGCAGAGTCAGGGGGCTTAAAGGCTCACCATGAAGGGGAGGTTGGGATCCGACCCCTCGAGCTAATTTGTCGTTTACTCACAAGGGAGGGCTACAATTACAAGAACAATGCCCCCATAAAGTCTCAATGACAGACATGTGGCAGGGTCTCTCTGTGTATTTTAAACCACCTCTTAACTGAAATTACAGGCTTGTGGAACAACCCAGGAAAGCACATGGCTCTATAATTCCCTCATGACAAGATGTTTTCCATGTAGTAATGGTTGTTAACACAAAACACCAAAGTGCATGCTGCATAATGCCCGCCTTCATAAACATGTAAACTAGGGCAGGGTTTCCACCCACGGTGACATGGGAGTAGTAGAAAAAAAGAGGTTGTGACAAAAGTTTGGCCACGCCTGATTGAATGCTTTTTCATAATCTTAAAGGCATTTAAATCTAAAAGTCTGTGCTTAAATGCTCAAATACAAACTTCGACCTCCCCCCAACAAGTTGTTTTCAGCAGTCACCAGTGTGAAAGGATCAGCGTCCTAGTTGGATCCTTTTGAAGCTTCTGGAGAGGCACAAAGGGGCAACCTACTTTATTATAAAATTATGAAGAATCTTAATCATAAGAGTTTTGATTTGTTTATATTATATAATATTTATTATTGTAAATAAAGAAACTCCTTCTGAGTGTTACTTTGTACTAGTTATAGTAGAACAGTAGTTTTCTACCAGTCTACAGTAACCAAAAGAGAAGAGTTGCATAGTGGGGTGAAAATAATATATAAGTTTTATTAACTTTGTGGTGTTATGGGTCTCTCTTTTAAAAGCTACAGTGTTATTTCAGTGGCAGTTCAGATGTGTTTTGTATTTCTTAGTTAAGAACAGCAATGAAAACACATTCCTCCTTAAAGTAAATCACCTCAGCCCTGAGTTGCTTCACTCTGATTACTTAACTCGAAGCCATGTGTTCTGTGTGCAGGTTTCTTCTTGCTGAGTGTATCTTTTATAATCTGTTTGTTGTTTATGGAAGTTTATGCACTGTGGATGCTTTGCGGGCTGTAATCATTAACACATGTTTTTAAATCATCAGTAACGCCTGTTTTCACAAATGCTCCAAGGGACATGACGGTGGAGTCTGGCACGGATGTCCAGATTCCATGCAGCGCTCAGGGAGAGCCCACACCGGTCATCACCTGGAACAAGGTGAGAGCGTCTGGCTGATCCGATGGCTTATAGTACTTTGGACAGTTTATCCAGTAGGGCTGTAATCTCTGACCTGACAGTGATTACGATTATTTAGGAAATCAGAGTGTTCTGAGTTTTTTTCAGTGTCATTAAGCATTAATTATGTTTAAGTAGTTTTTACTATGGTTTCTAACTTTGTATTTCATATACACAAAATGTGTGATGCATTTGTGAAAACATGCGTACATTACTGAGATTCTGCAATGTTTTCTTGCTACAGCCCAGGCTGTGCTAAAATATCCCCTTTTTTATGAATTTTGTGGGTCCACGTGGGTTTATTTTAGAGCAGGGAAAACGCAGAGCCTTTTTAAAAGTCTTGTGACATTTTGTGAATCGAGATAGTTGTGATGTGTCTAAGAATCAGCTATTTTTCCAGTGCCTTATAATCAATGATTATACTCCAAAATCAAAGAAGTCGACTCAGCATCATCAGAACGATGCATTAATGCATTTTTGCACCCTTATAATTCAGCAGTCATACTACATGAAAGAAAATGTATCTAGGTGTACTTTTCAAAAGTGCATTTAATATGAAAAGTACATACTTTTAATGCATACTTTAGTACATACAAAATGTATTGTGTTAGAGCAACTTACAACAGCTTGGGTATATTTAAATTGTAATTAAGCTATGATTAAATATATATTAAATGCATTTAGTTGTGCTTTTGATTGCTTTTATCGGATAACCCACAAAAGTCGATTTAAGTGTGTAATTTGTAGGCATAACCGTTATTGCACTTGGAACATATTATAAATAGACTACTGAACATATTGATACACTTCAGTCCTACTTATTGACTTACTGAATTATATTGCAACTAAAATGCTTTTAAATGCATTTTAAGTTACATTTCAAAGTCTGGAATAACACGCATACTTAAATTATATTTAAGAAATTTTGGAATTCCTCTTAACTACAAGTGTTTTTCAGTTCTAAGTTGGAACAACTTATTTTGTAGTGAAGTTAACTTTGATTGTTAAGACACATTCTTCTACATATGAAACATCTTGGGTGTACCAACATCTGTATTTGATTGCTAGTTAGTTTGAGTTATAGTAAGTATTATGCAGTGTGCTAAAGCACTAAAGCACACTTTAAAAGTCATGGCTTTAGAATATACTAATATATTCTAAATAGTTAACTTGACAATTAAAAAAATGGCAATAAAAAATTCTTCAGTATGTTAAGAAGTGTATTTCTGTACAGCACACTAAAGTATTGCTTAGAGTGTTAAAAAATATATACTTTTTAAAAAACACAAATATATATTTTAAATGTATTTCCATAAAATACATGAAACAAAAAAAATGTACTTTTGATCTGCAGGATGGTGTTCAGGTGACAGAGAGTGGGAAGTTCCACATCAGCCCTGATGGTTATCTGGAGGTGCATGATGTGGGCCTTGCCGATGGCGGTCGTTATGAGTGTGTGGCTCGTAACTCCATTGGCTTCTCATCAGCTGGCATGGTGCTAAGTGTGCAAGGTACAGTAAGAGCCAACTGCGTAATTCTGAGCCCAGCCTTTACTGGTCTGGCTGCCTCTTACTCTCTTCATCCTTGCAGTTTGTGACGTTTTCTTGGCCCACTGGAACCATATTTATACATTTGGAAGAACCTTGGAATCTTGCCTTAAAGTGATATTTTTCAAATGATATAAGAAATTTCTGAATGTCATTCTCAGTCAAGTATAACATAGTGTTCGCTGTTAGATGTGTTTATCATTTACAGTATATTTTTTAGACTGTAGACACAGATTCTTTAGAGAATGCTGTTTTTCTACTCAATGACCCTCATAAGAATGATCCATTATATTGCTACTATCCTAACTACTTTGGCACAATCTTGTGCTTTTAGGCCCACTGCCTAAATCTCTAAATCTGTTTTATGTTAGATGGCCCTGTTAATGTTACACTGTCACAACAAGCTGAAGGTTATGGTTGGAAATATCAGGCGACGGATCGCATGGCATACTAAAACGACTTCAAGTCGGTCATTATAAGAGTCATTTCTACCAAAATAAAGTAAGAAATCATGTTATGTATCAAATTCTTGAAGAAGCTCTTAGTCTGGCGATGGTGTGCATTTGTAATAGAATGAGTGAATAGACCTGAGTAGTCTAGACTGCCACTTTATGGCCCTCCTGCTAGAGTCCAGTTTCCTCAGCTGTTTGTTTTAGGGCCCCGACACACCAAGCCAACTGTTGGCCATTGGACGCTGTCAGGTCATTGGTGAGCACCAGTAGCCGACCGTCGTAGTTTGCGTGTTTTGGCCAATTGGCTCTAATTGTCTCTCATCAGCTCTGTTTTGTCCATGTGAGCATGTTGCATCGGGCTCGGCCATAAAGCAGAATTGAGAATCAGTGCATGAGGAGAAAAACAAAAGAGAGCAACAGTAGTGCGAGTAGCAATGTTTTATAACTAGAGATGGACATTTTTGCTATTCGAGTGCCCAGATTTTTAGACAAACAGTATTTGAATGTCGTATTTCCAACATGAAAATATTTAATCTTCTTATAAATAAACACAAACACACAGGAGCCCTGAAAGTGCTGTAATTACTTGGAAAAATACAACATAGGATACTCAGTCTTTTCATTGATCTTATGGATTATGGACATGCACAAACTTTGCATTTTATTTCACTGTTTGATGTACAAACATTCACTATTAAGTATCCCTTTCGCTCACCCAGTGCCAAGCTAACAGTGGTTTCCTCTTCACTGTCACTCAAAAATGTGATACTTGTAAGACTTTCAAAAAATATATTGTTTCCTTTGTTAGCTGCAGTCTTTGCAATGTGATCAAGCACAACATTTTACAGGAGACACTGAGCTGACAGAAAGTGATCATCAGTTGTCCTTTGCTGGTACTAGTTTTTTCTCATCAGCTTGGTGTTTCTGTGTCCATATTCTCTGGCCACTTGTCATAGTTTTTGTTGTTGGTAGGGTCAGTCAATCTCATAATTGACGTCATAAGTGACGTCTTGAGCCAAGTTAAGATTGTCTGAGAGCACAAACCATGTAGTTTATGTGTGAATATAAACTATATTAATGTGCATTACTGTACCTTTATTTCTTAGTTAACTCAGGTAGCAGGCCTATATTAAAGCAAACTCTTATTTCCTCTGTGTTTACATAAATTTTGTAGGTACCTATAGATACCATATCTGTGGTCTCAGCACTTAGTGGACTTGTATTGTTATTACCTTTTACAGTGTTATAATACTTTTAAAGCAGTAACTGAAAACTAAAACTAATATGTTGTTTTGGTATCTCTGAGAGTTTTTGCAAATGTTATGGAAATTGTGTTGATGGCCAATATTTCTCTTTGTTTCTCCAGTGCGTCAGGTCAGCAGGGAGGGCGATCCATTTGTCTCCACTTCTATTGAGGAGGCCATTCGCAGTGTAGACAGCGCTATAGACTCCACCAGAAGGCACCTCTTTGACGGGTAAGCTCACATTCTCTGCTGTTATCGCACCACCAGGCATATAAAAACACTTCTCGCTCCTGTGAGTCATACTGGTGTAATGTTTAAGGAATTTAGCAGGACTTGGACTTTGGCTTATGGCCTTTTCCACTTTTACCATTCCTAACTAGTTGCTGTTTGGACTCTACCAGCTGTTGCGTTGTGTTTGCTGTCTGTCAAACAGCATGCCAGTCTGTGTTGGATCATCAACACTGTTTGTGTTGCTAAGGAAATGACTGCTGATGGTTTGTTTCAGTGATTTAGTGGTCTGTTTCACACAAGGCGTTTGCCAAAGTAGCTGCCAAAGTAATGGAAACACTTGAGTATTGTGGGAGTCCAAGTTATATGAAAGCAGGTGCATAAATACAGGTGTTGTTTGTGAGCTCAGCAATTAAACTATCACCCTAACACATGATAAAAAATTGTGTTAAAGCCTTTTTTGTCTTGATGTGATTGGCTTTTTCCAGGATGACAGTAATAGAGTTTCACAGTACAAATATTATGAAGTAAACTGGAATTTTAAAGCAGATCATTTTTATAAAATAGTATTCATAGGTTTTGTTAGTGGAACTTTTACTGAATCCCCACTGATGCTCTGAGATTTGGTTTACATGTGATGTAATTTTGGGCATTACTGTACATAAGTTGCTTTGTTAACTCAGGGAACACGTATATGTGACTGTGACTTCTTTTATGTTCCTCATTTATTCAAGTGTTTCTGTAGTTAACAGCATGAAACTGAACTTGCCTTGTTTCAGTGTGTGTTTATATTTGTAGTTCAGTTTCTTTTGTCTGGACAAATGCAGAAAAGTTTGCATTTTAGTTCTGGTTTGTTTAGCATTCACACTAACATGTCTGACGTTGAACCAACAGATATAAATAGAAATCATTTGGGAAGAAATGTTTGTGTGTCTTGTTTTGTTTTTGCCTTGTCATATTCTGTAGAGGCACAAGAGGCAGTGCGTTGCAATGGTTACCATGTTTTTCCCACCATGTATAGCAGAGTGAAATCACTGTAACACATGGCCTCAGTTACCTTGCTGCTTTTACAGCACAAACTTTTATAGCGCACTAATATATAATATAATTAGTGTGTGTGGCCATATTTTTTCCTCAATTGTGTTTTAAAACTGTAACTATGCATTAGATGATAAAACTCCTTGTGTTTAGGTCTGTCACAATTATGAAAGAAGCTGATAATTATTTGCCATATAAATAATTGATTAAAAATTGAATTGTCTTTTTTTGTTAATTGTATGCAGCTATTAAAGTACAAGCCTAACATGGTCAGATTGGAAGGTTAGCTGTGTTGCTTCCTAGCTCTCGTACTTGCTAGCTCCCAACAGAGAACAACACAGCACCAGATCAAATAAACCTTACTCACCTCTGCCCTCTATATGTACTGCGGCACAAGTCAGAACTTTCGTTTTTCAGCTTTCTTTTATTTACATGTATTTGTCTCAACTCATCGGATGAAAAAGCAACCATTTCATTCTATTTGTTGTGTAAACATATGATTGGGAAAGCTGTGGAGAATAATGTGGGGAATAATTGTGGTCAGCTCAAATAATTGAGATCGGGCAGTTGTGTCAAAAGGCCTACATGTGTCAAAAGAGTATTAGAATTTTGTCTGTTGCACAAAGCAAAAAAAGATCTGTAGAGAGGTTAACGACAGTTCATCCCGCATTTGGTCCATTTAGACATCTTTAGTCCGTTTTGCATTAATATTTGAACCACACGGCACTGGACTCGTTCGGTAGCTGACTGAAACTGACCTTCTCAAGGGCTCTCGGTCCACTTTTTTTGGTTTGCACCAGGGTTTGAATGGCAGTGTCCTTACTTGTTCTAATGAACCACACAAACACCAGGGTTCATTTTAATCAAACCAAGTGTGAACACACCCTTAAAGCACTAATCATTTTTGACATGCATTGTTTCTGGTATCTCGTAGTGGCTATATCTTGTAAGAATGCAATTGGATGCCTAATTCCTAATATGCTTAATTAGTAAATCACTTCTTAAAAGTAGATCAAACTTTTTAACCACGAATGGCAGATTAGTGCAGCATATAAAATTTGTAATTAGACCTAATGTAATGTAATAGGCACATAGTGATGCCCCCCCCCCTCGGGCTGCTTTCTACTGAATGGTAACTCTACACTCACAAATCCAGTCAGCTCTAATCTAATAATCCACAGGATTTGTGATAATTGTCTTGAGGTTTGCTCTGCTATTAATTTCCTGGTGGCTCTCTGTGCTATCCAGCCATAGGGACTTTAGTGGTAGTCTGTCTGACAAACTAACTGCCAGAATCACTCACTGTGGACCACAAGGCTTCTAATTATCTTAATAATTTCACCATCAATATTGTGGAAAAAGCCTTAGCTGGTCATGCAGTTGCTCTTCACATTCCTACAAGGCTAATACATGTTTAGTCAGTAGAAGGAAAAGTTCATTTAATGATAATCTGTCACTTTTCATGTGAAAGGCTATGGGTGTGTATGTTTGTTAATGTACTGTACAAAAAACTATTTGGGTCGGATGCAAATCCAAGATAAAAAAAAGAACACACCCATGTTGTAGACAATGTTTTAGCATTTTAATGATAAATGATGCTGCTGCTCTGAGTCAGTGCATGATTAAGGATGCTCACTGTCGTGTCTAGAACAGATCAGACAATTATATAATTCTACCTAAACAGAGACGTTAGCAAAGAAGTGGGGTCAATCTCTCTGTATCTTAGTGGTTCTAACAGCTTGACTGCAGTGTCCACTGCTGCCTGTGCCATCGTGTACATTTTTCTTACGTTTTATTTTTTTTTCCCCTGAGGTCCGCTTATGACATTTGCATGGTTTTATGTACCTTACCTTACCACCTGACCATTTTGCAACATCTGTTTATCCATACAGAATTTTTTTTTTTACTGGGCCTGTAGGACTGATATATGTACCATGAGTTCTGGTTAGCTGTCCTGTATTGTGCCTCAAAAAGCAGTCTGTGCTGAAACACCCCTTTTAACTTCAGCATGAATAGGCGGGGCTAAACTGTTGTAAGCTGAACAGGTGTATGTAAATGTGTTAGTTTATGTGACATCACAAAAAAAATGCAGAAATGAAAACAGGATGTTTTTGCTGCTTAGTTTACATGGAGAGTGAATGGGATGTTCTGTTACATAAAAAGTGTTGAAATACTACATCAAAATCTTTAAAATTAAAAAAAATTATTCAAAACAATTTCAGTGTTGTGGACCCTTTAAAATGCGTTGCATGGTCTGCAGTGGTCTGCACTCTCGTCAGTAAAATGATTTGTAGTCGTGTCCAGAGGAAGAAACACATGTTTCTTCCTCTGCACACAGAGTAAGCAGATGTTCTACTTAAAGTGACATCTGAATTAGGGTAGTTTAACCGTGCAAGCATTATGATTAAAAAAAGAGAAGCATATTGAAGTGAAGATAGTCAAGTGCCACATCTTTGCCATTTAATTACTGCAGCCACATAAAATCTAAAACTTATTCATGGAGAATTTAAGTGTTTAGTTAACTGTTACATAGAGACGTGTACATCTTACCAATCACAGTCAATTCACAGTATGTAGTGCTGTATGTACTGGAATGAAAATGAGTACAAATGCTTGCACTTATTTTTTTCTGTTTTTCTCCTCCATCTTTCGGGCAGCTCCCCCCGGACCCCTGGTGAGCTGCTGGCTTTGTTCAGATATCCACGGGACCCTTACACAGTGGGACAGGCCAGAGCCGGCGAGATCTTTGAGCAAACCCTTCTCCTCATTCAGAGGCACGTCAACCAGGGTCTGATGGTGGACACCAATGGAACAGGTACCTCAGAGTACAATCATCTGTTGAACATTGTGATTGTGCTTGTTTTTGTTGTTTTAACTTTGGTTTGTTAAAAGGAACTTGGCAGCATTTTAATGAGTTTATCCGTAAGTGTGTAGCAAAGTTATGTTTCAAAGGGCAGTAAGTTCAGCTAACTTATTGGACACTGTGGCGCTTTGCACTGCCAAGGGGAGGCCTCACTGTTTTTACTGCTTATGACAACAGCCAAGCTCTCGTAGTCACACTGTGCCCTGACCAAGCAGAGGCATTTTGACCAGTCAGCACTGAATAGCTGGGCCTTTTTGGACTGTAATAACTTTAATCATTATTTCACTTTCATACTATTCAGATGCAGCTTTATTTACTGTGCAAGCATGATCACACAGACAAACAGAAAGGGAAAATAAAATAAATAAAAATATTTAAGCAGGCACTCCCCTATACAGACACGCTCACTGTGTAAAGCAGGGAGTAGGCTGATGGGACGAGTTCCAGTCTGTGTAATCATTATCCTCAGCTGACTGTTCACATCAGTTTTGGATGCATAGTAAATTTTTCTTATACAGCTCTTTACAGAGCTTGGATATCCAGTTAGATACATCGTGGTTAGGTGCACATAGCTTCTACAACGATACATTATAGTTATAATATTTGTACCAGCAATATGGAATATGCTCAATTTACATCCTTTCCTACTTTCAAAATTGCACAGATGTCATAAGCCACCTGAGAAAATTAAGCTATTTACTTGGTAAAATACTAACATAAGAACATATACAAGTAAACAATAAAACAATAGTCTGTCAGTGCGTTAGCTTAACTTAAACCTTCAAACCTGCCCATTATTTAAATGCGGCATCCAACAAGTAGGCCCGGTTTAAATACCCTTTTTATTTTACCTCAAATATCTTTTTTATTTACATATGCCCATACCTTTTTTTTTTTACTTTACCCCACTGGCTACTTGGAGCACAAGGGAAGGAGGTTACAGTGAAGACTCACCCTTGACTAGGTTAACATCAGTGCGCTAATCAGTTCTCCATACAGCTTTGCCACGCACTTTTAACGTTTAACGACAAGTTCTGAAGTCGACACTTATTTTCTGAGGGCTCATCTAACACCCTTTACTTGAGCTTGTAAAGTGATAGAACGACCCTTAAGATGGCATCAGGGATTCTCCCAGGGAGAAATGGTTTGGCCAAGTGGACGAGAGCATGTTAAAACTGGTATTGAAACGGGTAGCTAGTCTGGCTAATCATTTTTATTGTATTTGTTGTAAGCCATGCTTCATAAAATTTAATCAGGTATGCTGGTGGTGGAATTCCGTGCAATGCCTGGAACTGCATCAAGAAGAGAAACCAGCTCAGAACATTTGAATAGATTGTAATGACTGTAATTGTAATGTTTATTAGTATTCATTCTAATCTAATATAGTATTATTTTTTACAAGCAAATATACATTTGCTACCCAGTCAAACAGTTTTAAGCAGTTACCTCAGGTCACCTAAGACTTCTGCACTGTACAGTAAGTCTGAGGAACCTTTCTGTGCCTAAATGTTTATTATAACCCTCTCCTAGCTTTCCGCTACAATGATCTGGTGTCACCCCACTTCTTGGACATGATCGCCAACCTGTCCGGCTGCACAGCACACCGCCGCTTCAACAACTGCTCGGACATCTGCTTCCACCAGAAGTACCGAAGCCACGACGGCACCTGCAACAACTTGCAGCACCCTATGTGGGGCGCCTCGCTCACCGCATTCGAGCGGCTGCTGAAGTCTGTCTACGACAATGGCTTCAACCTGCCACGCGGGGCCACAGAGAGACACCACAATGGCTTCCCCTTGCCCCTGCCCCGCCTGGTCTCCACCACCATGATAGGTACGGAGACCATCACTCCAGATGATCGATACACACACATGCTCATGCAGTGGGGCCAGTTCCTGGACCATGACCTTGACTCCACTGTTGTTGCTCTCAGCCAGTCCCGTTTCTCTGATGGTCAGCTTTGCACCTCAGTGTGTACTAATGACCCTCCCTGCTTTCCAATCATGTTCCCACCCAATGACCCGCGGCAGAGGCGAGGCGGGGCACGCTGCATGTTCTTTGTGCGGTCCAGTCCTGTGTGTGGCAGTGGCATGACCTCGTTGCTCATGAACTCTGTGTACCCACGTGAACAGATCAACCAGCTGACATCTTACATTGATGCTTCCAACGTGTACGGGAGCTCACAGCACGAGGCAGAGGAGATCCGTGACCTGGCAGGCCACCGTGGTCAGCTGCGACAGGGCATCGTCCAGCGCACTGGGAAAGCCCTGCTGCCCTTTGCCACTGGACCCCCTACTGAATGCATGCGGGATGAGGGTGAAAGCCCTATCCCTTGCTTCCTGGCTGGAGACCACAGGGCTAATGAGCAGCTAGGCCTGACCGCTATGCACACAGTGTGGTTCCGCGAGCACAACCGTATAGCTGCCGAACTTCTGCGGCTCAACCCGCACTGGGACGGAGACACTATCTACCATGAGGCTCGCAAGATAGTAGGAGCCCAAATGCAGCACATCACCTACAGCCACTGGCTGCCAAAAATACTAGGCGAAGCAGGCCTGAAAATAATGGGCGACTACCAAGGCTATGACCCCAACATCAATGCTGGTGTCTTCAACGCCTTTGCCACTGCCGCGTTCCGCTTTGGACACACTCTCATTAACCCCATTCTGTATCGGCTGAATGAAAATTTTCAACCCATCCAACAGGGCCACATACCTCTACACAAGGCCTTCTTCTCCCCTTTCCGTATTGTAAACGAGGGAGGCATCGATCCTCTACTGCGTGGGCTGTTCGGTGTGGCAGGGAAGATGAGAGTAACCACTCAGCTGCTCAACACAGAGCTGACAGAGCGTCTCTTCTCAATGGCCCATGCTGTGGCCCTGGACCTCGCAGCCATGAATGTCCAGCGAGGTCGTGACCACGGTATCCCCCCCTATAACGACTACAGAGTGTTCTGCAACCTGACCTCTGCACAGACATTCAGTGACCTGAGAAATGAGATTAGAAACCCCACAGTTCGGGAGAAACTGCAGAGGTAAATGAGATCTGAATTCACTTATGTAAACTTTTAAAGGAATACTGCACTGAAAAATCTAATTTTTTTCCTTCTTACCTAATGTAGTCGATCAGTCACAGATTTTGTAGCACTGAAGGCTGTTGTAGCTAACAGTTAATGGAAATATACACCTCACTGATTAGTATCATGCTTCAGACACTTTTAGCATCAACTTCAGGCAGGCTGATTAGCTGCATTTGGGATAAGGAATAAGTGATGTAAGCATAATTGTATGATTTTCCCTTTTAAATAGAAGAGAAGAATGTTTAGGCCACAGCTGTGCTAAAATGTCTGTATTTATTCATTTTACTGTATTCATAACCCTCTACAAATAAGAATTAATGCTTATCCAGGTAGATGTAGTACCATTTTCTACATTGCGTGCATGCTTACGTATCGGCATTGTATTGCCATCAGCAGATATGTACACATCAGACATCAGCAACAGCCCACAATTGCCATATCGGTACTTCCCTATTAAGTGCATTCGGGTGGTTTTACTGCTGCTAAACAATGACTCTTTTGGCTGTATGTGTTTCCAGGCTCTATGGCACACCCCTGAACATTGATCTGTTTCCTGCTCTGATGGTAGAGGACCTTGTTCCTGGCAGCAGACTGGGGCCCACCCTGATGTGTTTACTGGCCACCCAGTTTAAGCGTGTCAGAGATGGTGACAGGTGAGTTTTTGACTACTCAACAGATCTCATAACTGCTTTTCTGATTGAGGTGGTTCATATGAGTCTGTTTCCTATTTGTGCAGGTTCTGGTATGAGAACCCTGGCGTCTTTACCCCGGCTCAGTTGACACAGCTGAAGCAGGCATCTCTCGCCCGGGTGCTGTGTGACAATGGGGACAACATCACCCGCATACAGTCTGACGTCTTTGCTGTGGCAGAGTTCCCTCATGGTTTTGGAAGTTGTGATGATGTGCCTAAGATGGACCTGCGCATGTGGCAGGACTGTTGTGAAGGTATGTCTACAAATCAGATCATGGCCTTTATAAACACCTCACACATGTCAACACTGTCTGCATTTTTCTGCACTTTTTTCACGTTTCATTGTGTGATGACGTCCCTAGGTGATTTTATGGCTGGTGATTATGATGACTGAAGCTGTATTGTTTAGCTAAAGCCCCTGTGTTTTGAATTTCATTGGAAAGTGCATTCATGTGAGAGCTCAGCAGAGAGGCTTGTCACCACAGCAATGGGCATAATGGCATCAGGGTACCTGTGTAATCCATCCCTGCTTTTTAAACTACAGATTTCATCAGTGCCTAGGCCAGACGTAGGGGCCTTTTAACTATCCACTCACTGAAGCTTGTTCAAAACCACAATTTAATCTTGTAAAGATTAGTTTCATTCACAAGTATCAAAATTGCATGAGTTATTCTTGCCTAAGACAATATATTATAGTAGCAGAGACCCGACTGACTCCAAGGCTCAGTGGTAAATTTCCCTGTCAAATCTTGAGTGTGAGCAATTACAAATAATTAGCTATTTACTTTATCTTAATGAAACCAGTTTCCAGCTCCCACATAGCCCTTCATGTTTTTCGTTTTGATTGCTCAAGCATGTGCAATGGAACCATGGGGTTCACTGCCGGTCATGGCATCTGGGGAATTAAGACTTAGTACATATCTTCCACATGAGTGAACTGCACGTACTGACATTACTCTGCACTATGACTTCTGTCTTTTGTCCACCATTGAATTTTGCATTATAATTTACAATTTAGCAAAAATGTTATTGTGAAAATTGTTTTTATATATATATATATATATATATATATATATATATATATATATATATATATATATATATATATATATATATATATCGCTGTTGTCGGAAGAAAATCTTGTATCTCCAAAATGGTAACTTTACAGGAGAAAGAAAAAACCTACTTTACTTTCAGTGTAAGTCAATGGAACAAGACATTTTTCCAAGTCATTTTGGGCCGTTTCTTTTGGTCCATTCTTCATGAAATTTACATACAATGTAAAGAGCAACAGGCATTTCCAAATCATGTCAAAAACTGCAAAACGACAAAAATGGAGATACAAGATTTTCTTCTGACAACAGCGATATATATATATATATATATATATATATATATATACATATATACATATATACATATATATATATATATATATATATATATATATATATATATATATATATATATACATATACATAAGCAGTCAAAGGCAAAATTCTGGGACCTGGATTGTCTCAGTTCTGGTCCTGTATGTTGAAGTGTTTTGCTCTAACACCTGCTACAGCCCAGAAATGCCTTGCTAATTCATTGATTGGCTGCATCAGATGTAATAGGAGCAAGGGAGACTCTAAAATGTGCATGACAAATGGTAATCTAGGATTGAAATTGAGACCCACAGGTCTAGACTTATTAAAGACAAAAGGCAGAGCACGTAAGGGAGTGTAAATAGTGAGACCAAATCACATGCAGAAGTCATAGGTTACGATGGAGTGAGTTTGTTCATTTGTACAGGAATCAACTGCACGGTCATTGTGGCCTAAAGCAGTATGTCGCGTCGATACTTGGTAGCTCCTAACTGACGACAAAAACAGCTTGAGCTCAAATAAACAAACGTGACTCAGCACTGCCCTCTGAAGGTGTTATAAACCAGAAGTTAGAATTTATGCTTTTGTAAGACCCCTGATATATCTCAATAAATAGGGTTTTGCCCTTCTTTTATTCATGTGTATTTGCCTCAGCCCAACAAAGGAAAACACACTCAATTCCTTTCGGTTTCCTGTAACAAAAAACATGACATAAGTAAAGCTAAAAACGTGATTATGTAATAATTGTGACAACTGGGACCAATTCTGGGTCTGTTTGGGGGCAGGGCTCTTGTCACAAGTTACATTTCATACAGTATTAGATCGCATCGAAGATCGAAGATTAGATCTGATCAAACATTTTCAGCTTCTCTATTTAAATGGGATTGTATAACATCACCGATTTCAAACTAAATCTGCAAACATCCTTTTAGATGTTTGGGCATTTTGAGTTGTTGGATGACAAGTTTTTGAAGGGCGGTCTGTTTTGGCTTGGTGGATTGAATTAATCTTTTGTTGTAAGTCCATTATGTTGAGTGACAGGAGACAAAAAAAGGTATTTCTGTTAACACTTAAATTGGATGATGAACATCCATCAGCACCCTTTAAGAACACATTAATTTTAGACTTTTGCATTAAAATATAAAACTTTTCAGTTGTTTTTTCTTTTTCTGCTGTGGGTAGAGTTTAAGCTCTCAGCACTATTAAATATGGGAGAGGCACACATACTAAACTATGAACATCCTGTCAGAATGCTGTCTGTTGGGAATGAACTGTTCCCCTGTCAGTGGGAATGAACTGTTAGTACTGATTCACTCACAAGGCTGTAAACACACTGAGTGAGGTGTGCATATTTTGTTTTAATGTGTTATTTGTGTAGGTGTTGAAAGAAAGGGAAAGTATTCAGTGTCTTCATTTCTTTCTACAATCGTTTTCAAAACTATAATGAGAACTTTTTAAGAACAGATATGTTTTCTTATGTTAATATGTTGTTTTAAACTGTTCAGGTATCCAGAGACGGGTTACCATTTTCATTTTTTGTGAAGTATATTGTTTAATTGTTTAATTCTTATAATAATGTATTAGGAGATGTTAACTACATTTCAGATGTATTCGGAAAAATGATACTCAGTCATGGCCTTTAGACAGCACTTGATTTATGATTAAACATATAAATCCTCCTTTAATAGAGCTGGTTAATAGAGATTTATATGTTTGCAGATGTGATGCTTCAAAGGTGACTTTGAATTCTGTCTTTCAGTGTTTGTGCTTCTTACCTGCACAGAGCTAAATACAGGACGTATTGCTGACAGGATTCTCTTTCATGTTCCTCTTACATTAGTGCCTTTATTGCACTGCTGCGTTGGGACAAGTCCCTTGTTTTGCTCTACCAGATAAAAGCAATGAGCATGGCTGTGATTAGGGGTGGGAATCTCTGGGCACCTCACGATTCGATTCGATTACAATTCAGAGGGCTGCGATGCGATTATAAAACGATTATCGATGCATCTTGATGCATCTTTTTTTCTATACAGGATTTCTATTTTCTCACTGTGTGAGGACTTGGTACGTTTAAAGCTAAGTATTTGTAATGATCCATAATGCATTTACGTCCAATATCTTTTATTAATAAAACAAATGGAAGTGATGTGGCAAGTGAACTAGATAGCTCTCATTCACTGCCTTTGGAGCACATGAGACGCTGCTGCCACTCATCTGTGATAACATGCTACGGTGAAAATAAGATCCAGTGGTGATGGATGTCCACGCGGCACATTATAGCCATCCTACCCGTTTTCGTTAGTGATCAGTCGCTGTGTCAGTAAGATACCTTCGAGACAGGACGTGCGCAACATAGCACGGAAGCCCTGTTTTGTAACGACTGAGAATTGGCGTGCAGACTGCAGGTCACCTAGCGACAAGGTTTCACCTGGCTAGTAGTGAACGAAAAAGGAAAAGAGAAAGACAGACGAACATTTGGAGACGAACGGACTTATTTGCATTTATAAGCAACGTAGTTGGTTTCCTGGTACGTTAAATCTGCAACGAGAGACTGTCACACACTAAAAAGTTGAGAAGATGAAGTCGCTTCTCTTTCTATTTACTCTTTGCATTTACATTAGCCACCTCAGTCTAAATTTAAGGTGGAACAGGAAAGTTCAGCAAGATGCTGGCGAATGAGAAGCAACTTTAGCCTCGTAAAACAGCCGAACGTTGAGAGACATTTAACTGATCAACTTTTGAGGAAAAGTTTTCTGGCGGAGATGGGAGGAAAGCGGCTGTAGCTGAGCTAAAGCTTAAAACAGAAAAAAGTAAATCTGCGCGCTCGTTTATATTGTTTAGTCTATACAACGACATTATCACATACTGACACATACTGGACATTAAATGTTGCGGCTCCCAAGGTGGTTTGATTTTTGACAAAATGGCTCTTCTTATCATTTGTGTTGTGACTCCTGATCTAACCTGGCTTTAACGCAGAGGGAGCCGGTCGGATTTCTCACTCGTCCAGTGGTGTTTTTGTTATGTGCAGTCACAGACTGTCCGGGTGCTGCACTTACCTACTTCCAAGTTCCGCCCTTTGCGTTCCGCCAACATTACGTTATAAATTAATTATTTAGAAAATTGATTTTTGACATTTATGAATCGATTCAGATTCGTTGACGTCAGCATCGCGATGCATCTAAGAATCGATTTCCCCCCCCACCCCTAGCTGTGATCCACACATCATTCACGTACAGAACGCCCACAAATATCATTCGAAGATCTGTGAACTACTTGCAGATGTTATTCCATGCAATCATATGCAATTGTTTGAACACCACCGGTCAAATTACATCTGTTCTGTTGATTTTCTAAGTGAAAATAAGTTGACATACCCTCTACAGAGAACATGCTTACATGTTGCAATTTTAGTGCACAATTTCTACTTCTTTGGTTCACATTTGGAAAAAATAAAAGTTAAAATATAAAATGTGCCATAACTTTTGCACTGGCCACATTTTATTTAAATTTTTTTTTTAAATTGTTAAATTCAGCAAATAAACAATAACCGTGTATTAAAATTTGCAGTAGAGGCTGTGTTAACTTATTTTCTCTTGGAAAATCAACAAAATGTAATTTCCAGCTACCCTTAACATTATATGAACTTTTAATAATGAATGGACCAATGAAAATGGTCCATAAAAATAAAATGGAAAATAAAATCTGGTTACAATAATGTACATTAAAATTAAGAATGATTTTGGCTTCTTCTGTAAAGTTGCCATTTTATAGATATAATGAACAGCGGAAACATGTTGTTGCCTTAGCTCTACACGAGAGAGTATTGTTTTCATTTCGTACCCCCAGTAAAGATCATTATGACTAAACCCACAGACTGCCGCACTAAAGGTCAGTTCAACGCCCTGTCCTACCACTTCCGAGGCCGGAGGTCTGTGGAGCACAGCTATGCAGAGGAGAAACCTTTTGGAAAGCTTGAGAATGATCCCAGGTAAAACTTATTTTTAGCTCCATCTGCAAGTAATTTATCTTATAAACGCTTTGAAGGTTTTAGGAAAGGTTATCAGTTATGCTCTTCAGTGGAATGTAGGCATGTTGAAATTTTACCCTTATAACCATATCAAATGTTGCTCTAGATTACATTAATATACTGTGTCTGATTTGTTTTTCAGCTTTGAAGATGACAGAACCATCGTAAATGTAACTCGCGCACCACAGTCAAGCACTGAACCCTCGCTAAATGAGTTCCAGGACTTTGTCACGGACATGCAGAAGACTATCACTAGTTTACGAAAGCAGGTGAGGCTGAAAGTCTGTTCCATGGTGGTGTTCTGTATCGGACATTATGTTGAACAGGAACCTTTATACTGAAATTTGTCTGTAGATGAGTTCTAGCAATTATACAATATATAATTACTGTCAAAACAAAACATATCTCCATATTGGTCTTTTTTTACATGATTTGAAAATGCTAGCTGCCACTAACACTGTGTCAGTTTTATGACAAATGGACCAACAGAAATGTCCCAGAATGATGCAGAATTGATTCTTGTTTCCTAAGCTTTACATATACAGTAAGAGGAAATGCATATTCAGACATTTTGTTATTTAATGTACTTCCAGTGCATATATCCACTTCAGATTTACACACAATGTCTTTTGACTTTGTACCTACAAATATAAACAAAAAATGCATTTATGAGCATAAACAAAGAGATATTTAAATAACTAAATTTATAGAGAAAAAGTATTCGGACACCACAAATAAATCACATTATTACTTTGGTGCAAAGCTGTTGTTGGTTATTAGCTTTCTGCAGCATTGTGGTTCAATTTAGGCCAGTTCCTCTCGGCAAACTGTCTTCAGTTGGGCTCATAATTTCAAAATCATGTCAGGAGACTGGCTAGTTATTTTAGGTTGTATGTTGGCTGTACGATGCGCTCATCTACGTACTTCACTATGGGTACTGTTGAAGTGTTGTTTTATAATGTTTTATAATGTGCTCCCTGGCCTGAGAACTTTAGGAAGATCTTTCACTTTCACCATGAATAATGCTTGTTGCATGAAATTTTCCCACCTGTTGGTAATGTCTTTTATAATGACACCAGGTGCAGTTTGCACAAGAACATGTTTACTTTTTGCATGTGTAAATTTTAACATATTGTGTCTGAATATTTTTATCATATTGCTTTTTTTTATCTTTGTAGATGCTTATGAATACATGCTTAAGTGCGTATATATATATATATATATATATATATATATATATATATATATATATATATAAAAATACAAAAACAAAAGTGTCTGAATACATGCTTCCCCTCACTGTATTCTGTATATCATTGCAGTCATAACATAGCCTTGTGTCTCTGAGACAGTAACTTTATAGGAGGAGGAAAAAATGTTTTTTTTTACTTCCTTGTAATCTAATTTAACAGGATTCTATTCCGAGTCATTTTGGATCATTTCTGCTGGTCCATTCATCATGAGAAATCAGCTGGTGATTTCCATTGGTTTAAAAAAACTAAAAGTGATAAAAATTGAGTTTTCTTACACCAATAACAATAAAATGTGTATTATACAGTAATTCTGCTGGGGTTCATACAGATCTGGAAGCATTTCAACATTTAATACATACTACATACATTTTTTGTGACATCTAGGCAGCACCATACATATGTTTTACTATAAGACACCCTTTATACAGGAAACTACTCTATTTGAGGACGGTGTTGTTTCAGAGAGCTGACGGCATGAGCCAGCGCTGTTTGAACTGAAACAGGATATCCAAGCTGTGTCTCAGATAGCATTGCACATTTGGAGAGTTTAAGCTGAGTTTGTGAGGGCTGTAGGGGAATCCACATTGGTAGCGCCTGGCTTTATTTCATTTGGAGAGTAAGAGATTTAATGGCTCTGCAGCTCATGTCACAGCATGAAACTGGGAACTTCAAATATGTGATTTTTATTTTGGGCCTCCTAATCAAGGACATTTATTAAGATGTATTTTTACTGTGCCCCTCTATCATTTCTAAAGGAAATTATTTACAGATGGCTACTCTGCTTGAGGTTAAAGCACAAATAACTGGTGGATCAAACAGTGCTGCTTGGCCTCATGCTGATAGAACTTTAAGACGTACTTCAGTTTCCCCAAAGATATTCCTGTGACCTGCACTAATTCAGTTGGATGTGCCCAGGCAAAGAATTTCACTCTCTGGTATCATCTGCCCCACAGATAAAAAGACTTGAAGCCCGTCTGAGTAAGACAGACTGCACTGATGAGGAAGGAAGAGAGCGGGGGGATGGAGAGAGCTGGAAGAAAAACCCCTGCACCACATGCGAGTGCAGAGTATGTACACCACTTTTTCTCTATACAGTGATCAGCAGTGCTTTGGAGTAGGACCTCCTCAAACAGTTTCTTGGAGATTCATTCAAGGAAGAGTGGGGCACAACCTGATGCATTTTGGTTTTTGCATTCATTTTAAATGTATTTGAGTAAGATTAATCTTTTTGTACACAAAACCTGCACAACTCTGCTAAAGAAAATGATAATGTAAACTTTGAAGCACCTACCAACTTCAAAACATTCAACAGAAACTCAGCTGAAGCTGAGATTGATTTTATCTACAGAATATTTGTGCTACGTTTCTGATGAATCTGTGCATAAAAACATAAAAAATGAACTGTTTTGAATCTGATGGGGAGGTATAAACGTCCCCATATTGCTTCCCTTCGGAGGCCTAGTTTTACCCTGCATTAGGTTGTGCCTCATTATCCCCCCACATATTTTAATATTTATGTTTTTTTCTCATCTATATTGTTTCTTGGGGTTTGATATATCACCATCTGAAAATTGATAGTTTAACATAGTGTAAGATCAGAATGCAGCCAATGAGTTATGGAAAAATCATGTACTTTAAGCCTTTTACACAAAATTCCTGTATATTAAGCCACAGACCTGACCAAACAGCAGAATGTTGCTGTTTACACGCCACCATGTGTCAGTTTTGTATCTGATATAGAAGGCAGGGTATGGTTGGCCAGTGGTTTATCAATGCCTACTCCAGATGGTTTTCTCAACTAATGCACTGTTATATCTGGAAACTGTTCTACAGCAGTGCGATATTGGGCTTAACAAAGGCTTCACAGTGTTATGTCTTTGCCAAAATTTCCTGCGATCACAGGTTTCACCTTAACATCTGGATTCAGTAAAATTTCCATCTGGAGCTGGGTGGGTGGAGCGAGTGTAATTGTTTGCTTGCACCATGCATAAAAGTAAAAGGCAATAAATCCCATCTGTGTGCTTATTTTAATTTTCATGTATTTGAAACACAGTCCATCCAATATGGGTGGGCTAATTCCATTGCAGTGGCACTATTTATCACCTGGAAACTGATTCCACACACAAACACACCTCAAATAACATTATAGTGCCTTATCTAGGGGTGGGCAATATGATAATTATTGTGATAAATTATACCACAATACACTTTTCTGAGCATATTGTGGATATCAGTGCTTAAAGAACACTGATTAATTACATGTTTGATTACAAAGTAAGTGATTAGGTCAGTTTCATTGGAATTAGTGCAATTTGTAAAACATTAAATTGCAAATCATTGTAGTTGCAGGTTTATTATTATTATTATTATAGTATTTTCATATGTGGCACTACAGGTTCTATTTTGTCTGATCCAACTTATTAAATCTCTGAAGAACAAAACATTGTGATGCATATTTTGTATCATGAAAATGTATTGAAGCACCATGATATTAAAATTATTATTATTATTATTATTAAAATCACCCACGCCTAGCCTTACCTTTCCGTCAGGCTTTTGTCTGCCTGGTGCAAATGCCAAGCCCATGTCAGTGCTAGTCAGTGGTTTCAGTGGTTTTGTGTGTGGGAGTTCTGAGTATCAGCTGTCTCTCTTACTGATGCACACTCTTTTCTCCTGTTCTGTTCTGTTTCTGTGCCCAGAGAGGATTTAATGCTGCCACAGTATCAGACTAGCCCTTTAACCGTGTGCCAAGTGACATTCTTTTCAACTGGTGGCCAAGCGATTCCTAACCTTTGCCCTTATCGCTTTCTCTCTGAGTAACTTTGATAATCCATTGTATCTTTGTCTGTTTAATCAAAAAGGCAAGTGGTGGTTCTGTCTGGCTTCACTTGGCTGTAAAAGTGGCTAATGTAATACCCTCTCAGGAATTTCAGTAAAAGCATGCAGTGGAGCATGGTGACTGTAAATAGATTTTTTTACTCTCCCTTCATTGCCCATGGCTGAATCTTAAATGCCCCACTACTCCCTACGTAGTGCACTACGTAGGTCTTAAAATAATGGTTCCTGCACCCAAACATTGCATAATATGTCTAACAAAGAGCCATTTGGATTCAGCCCTTCCAGACATATTTGGGTGAAGAAGCCAAAATTTCTCCCCCATATTTGGCTGTCTGAAAAAGCCAAAATTTCATAACTCACTATATTCACTATATAGAGAGTAGGGAGCCACTTGACATTCAACCTTTATCTTCTTCTCCCCTGCTAGGAGGCCCAGGTGACGTGTGTTGTGGAGAGATGTCCCCCAGCATCGTGTCCAAACCCTGAGACACTGAAAGGTGCTTGTTGTCCTGTGTGCCTCACTCAACCATCAACACAGCAGGGCAACCAACATCATGTATAACCTCAGGACCCCAGTCATCCTAGAGAGAGACCCAATCGATGCGGCCTGTCGCATCCAAATGCCTCGATTTTATTTTTTCTATGTTTTTTTGTTTGTTTGTTTTTTGTTTTTCTCCATATCTCCAGGCATGGCATCACATCTGCCCAGAGCAGAGAAGTTGCCACATTATCAGCCTTTAAAATAAAATGGATGGATGAATGGATGAGCAGATGGATGCATAGAGGATGTTCTCTTCCTCCATCAGGCCTAACCAAAGGGACCAGAGGCATTCAGAGACCTCCAGAGGTCTTGGCCTGACAGTTACTGCCCTAACGCGTGCACTGAAGAGGAGAGGATTACATTGCAAAACAAGCTTGAAGGGATCCTACAAAGAAACCGATATCAGCCATGTAGTCTCAAAAAAGCGTTCTCAGGTTAGAGATGCCAGATTAATGGTGCTACTCCCCCTACAGTAATGACACATACTTAGTTCATGCAGCCTTAAAAAGTATTGTTCTGTACCTTTTTTTTAATGTTTTGTTTTTACACATTATGCAAAAATGTAATGTACACTCATGATGTGCCTTTGGGGCAAGCTCCTGGTTTTATAATTACTCAAAAGACGTTTTATATGAGAAATGATTAGAGTTACTCCAGCTTTTACTAAATGTTTATGGTGCTTTTATCATTTACTGAATATATGCGTATTACACATACCCCCACGTTTGTATCAACCTCTGTGTGAAGATAATGTGAATATCTAGGGGAAAAAAAATTTAATTGAAGAAAGTCTACTGATCACCAAGTGTTTCTAGCAGTCATTGCCAGTCAACATCTGGTGTTTTTCATATTTCCTTGTTTTACCCTGACAATAAATGGTTTTAACAGGGACGGAGGTGCGGTAGCTGAGGTAAAGATCTGTTTGGAGTTACATCAGGGGTCTTGCAATGTTCATAAACACATTTGTGCTCAGACATCTTGCTAACTGACCAGTGCAGTATTTCCAGCCTGTTCCAGAAAGGTAGTCCACTGCCAGCTATTTCCTTCTCTGTTTGAACAGGCTTTCCAACACTGTTTGAAGACGAATGTTGACCATGCAGTGCCTCACCACAGTGCAGTACAAGTCTCAAACTCATGTGCTGTTGTCGGCATCATTTACTGTCTCCAGTTATTCTTCTTTTCCTCTTCACCCTTATGCCATACCTGGTCTTATGAGAGGCCTGTTACATTTCCCTGGTTTTCTTTTTTCCTTGTGATTTCTACCCACCCTTCTTCCTTCCTCCACTTACAGAATAGTGGGTTATGTTCAAGTTTGGGCACTTGACAGCACATGGATCAGTTCCCACTTTCTTTTCTACCTTCTTTAATCACATGTCCTAACCATATGTAACAGGACTTGCAGACCTCTCTCATTTCCATCTCTCGCCTGCTTTGTTTTGGATGGTGAGAACATTTGGCCACGGTCTCCAGAGTTAGCAGGAGGCATGTGAACAGCGCTGATGTCATGTTTGAGAGCATGATGCTCTCTGACCTTACTGTCGCTGTAATCTAAGCCATATGGATAAGAGAGGAGTGGGTGGAGAGATTTGGAAAAGATCTCCTTTCTTTGTGTGCTTTTGTGAAACAGAAGAATAATACTGTATAACCCAAAAGAATAACTGAGAATCAAAGAATAACAGGCACATAAACAGCTCACACTCCTACAGGTGTGCAGTTTTTCTGATACTGGTATACCACTTGTGACTGGTGACCACTCTCGCTCTTTGGTTGTTCTTTCTCTGCTTGCTTGCTTTCATTTCTTTTCTTTTCTTTTGTTTCTTTCTTTCTTTTCTTTTTTTGCTTTCTAATTGGCCAGCATGGGATATTCTTTGGAAGTTGCAAGTAATAAAAATCTGGATGTTTTTGGACGGTTGTATTGCTGGCTTCGTGTTACCGAACAGTCCAACAGCTATTAGTATTAATTTTGTGTTTTCCATGTTTATGTATTTGCTCTGTTTTCTCTTTTTTCGACCCCCTCCCCGAGTCTGCTGTTCATCTGCTGTCCCTGTACACTCATACTTGGAAATATTCTTAGTGTTGATTTGTCCTTTGGCCCCTCCTCTGTCCTCTCCCCCCAAACTGAGCTCATTTTCCAATGCACTGCCCTGCAAGACTGAACAAACTGACGCAAGTGGTCAAAGTGATTGCCTAGTATTTTGTATTGTACTTCTGCCAAAGATTGTTTGCACTGTATTGTATGCCTCTCAACAACAATAAATGAACACATTTGACAAAAAAATCAGCTGTACTCTTTCAAAAACCATCCAGACCTACTTCATTCTCAGTCAGATGTATTACATAAAAGCCATGCACAGTCAAAAAGGCCAAGAACAGTTAACACCAATAAAATGGAAAATACTAAATCGAAAGGTGTTTTCAATTAAATTTCAGTTCCACTGTGGAAATGAAGTGTAAGTCTGACTGTTTTCTCACTCAACACGTGAAGAAAAGAGTACAGTGTATTCCACATTCTTAGGCCTCTACTGTTTTATTGCTAAAAGAAATTGACTGGCTTGTGAATATACTTATTCTTTCAATATCTTGAATCCACATGAAATGAAGGCACATTTTATGTTTCACATGACGCACAGCACTGTGCAGAAGTCAGAGACCCTTCATTTATTTAATTTCCAGTCAAAACGGCCATTAAGTAAGTTATTCATTTTTCAGGAGATGTTTCTGAGGAGCCCTGCGATGGACTGGCGACCTGTCCAGGGTGTATCCTGCCTTCCGCCCAATGACAGCTGGGATAGGCTCCAGCACCCCACTGCGATCCAGAAGGATAAGCAGTTTAGATGATGTATGTATGTTTCTGAGGAGATTACATATTACATAATGCACTTAAAGTTATTGAGTCATAGGAATTATAGGAGGTATAGAGGACCAGGATGCAAGACACCAAAACTGACACCATCAGAAAATCCGTACTCAAAGGTTTCGTCTTTGAGAGAGAGGAGAAAATCAAACTCCACTCTTGCTTCACATCTGAAAAAAATCTACATTTCTGTCTTTCTTCCACTGTGAGAAGACAACTCAACGCCATGGATCTCAAAGAATGTGTGGCTGTCAAGTTGCTGATGAAAGAAAATGGATACAAAAAAGAAAAGTTGCTAACATCACTAAATGTGTTTGGGATTTCTTCATAGTTGGGAGAAGCTTCAAATGCAACCAACTTCTAAGACTGAACTTCAGAGGTATAAAAAAACACCCCTGCAGATTTCTTTAAGAAACTGAAAGCAAGTATTCCAAAAAGAATGGAAGCTATAATAAAGGCAAAGAGTGGACACACTATATATATATATATATATATATATATATATATATATATATATATATATATATATATATATTTATATATATATATATATATATACACACACAAACACATATGGATTTGGACTGGACGTTAAATGTAGTGTGGTCTCTAATATTTGCTCAGTAATGCACTATAGTGTCTCTAAAGTTTGAGGTTTATGTTTCTGTAGATCTGTGCAAATACCTTAGCATTAATTTCATGTTGGGTATTTTGACCAAGTAAAAATAAATATAGAACTAAGCAACTGTATGAAGGTTGTCCATTATATTTCAGTCAACCTGTTTAGATTTGTATTGAGTACAGCTTATCTCCATCTGCTCTTCTGATCACATCACAAACACATTGTTATGTGATCAAAGCCACAACTACATACATGATAAATATGGAATTTTTAACAGGATCCAGCTGCAGGTTGTTTTTATCCTTTCGTGCAGACATCCTCTTCAGTGGTCAACACACAATCCTTAGATCAGATGAGGACATAATAAGGTATGTAGTGAATGTTGGAAAGATAAACTAGAGCCCACAGAGCACGTCATGAAGCTTTCATTTATAATGTTTGGTTACAAACCGACCATTTTGCTTCAGCCTTGTCCAAACTAGTGATAAGGACTCAGTCAGTCATTTACAAAGCTGTTTTTGTTTACGCCCATCTATATATCCATGGTTCAAGGTTGTTCTGGCCAACTGTGAGTCCGAACAGCAGAGTTAAACACATCAGCTACAGCTATTGAATGTGGTTTGTCATTCAGCGCTGCCAATTCGTTCAAACCCGTAATTTCTTCTCTCGGTTTAAATGAAATTATGTTGCGTTACTGTACTGAAATCCCTGCATTCAAGCCTCCAAGTCTTCAAGGTGGTTTGTAACTGTATGTTGCGCAATGGTGATGAATTTCTGTGATTTTACAATGGTGAGAGGAGCTCTATGGGATCTTCTAACACTCTGTGCTCCTCACTCCAGGTTTAGGTGTTGGATTTCTGTTCTTCGTTGGCAGGGACATGAACATGAACTTACAGCCAGACAGACAGGGCAATGGAAATTGGATGTAGAAATTAGCTTTCCAGTATTCAGCTGGATGAAAAGGGCCTAGACCAGTCAGGAAAAAATATTACTGAAAGCAACATGGGAGCTGCACACCACAAGCACGCCAGAGGAAGTCTTCTCAGCTTTATGAGCAGGTATAGAGAGACAGGAAACAGACCACAGAGTCTCACACACACACTGTTTAAGCCACTTATCCTCCTGGGTCTCAGAAGGTGCTGGTATCTATCCCAGTGGTGATTGGGCAGAAGGCAGGAAATGCCCTGGCCAGGTCATCAGTCCATCACAGGGCAAACACAGACATACACATTCACACCTAGGGGCAATTTACATCTCCAAATGGCCTGACTGTATGTCTTCGGACTGTGGGAGGAAATCGGAGCACACACAGACATGCAAACTCCACACAGAATGGGCCCTGGTTGCCCAGCTGAGGAATCAAACCTAGGGCTTTCTTGCTAAGGGCTCTCATAGAGAGCTATTTCTGCAACAAATACCATCTTACAACCAGAAGGGGGTTGTAAAGAGTTCCTGATTTAGTTAGTTAAATAACTAAAACAACATTAAATAACGACATTTAGTCCCTTTGCTGGAGGACGCACGGTACTGAGCCTTTGGATGTGGCCTAGCAAAACCTAGAGAGTCTCATTGCCAGCACCAGCCAGGAGCAGAACGCTACAATATGTTAAAATGCTTAAGTAACAAATTATTGAAATCCCTGCTGGTCCCCTCAAAGAGCATTTTTACAGTCGCTTGTCTCAAGCCTATGAAATAATCCCACACCTCCGATATGTTGATTGCTTTAGACAAGCTTTTCTGGTGCACATGCAATGGTCACTTAGTAGCACATGAGCATCAGAAATCATTTAATGGTTTTCGTAGCCTCTATTGCCAATACCGATACTGTATTTAAGAGCCAGTATGAGAGGTCAATACAGATACAGTATCAGTGTCACTGCAACACTAGTTATATGGGTTCAGCATTTGACTGCTTTGCTGTTGCTCACACCCAGGGTCAGCTCTAACCTTTTAGGGGGCCCCTTCTTGCTAGGTGATGTACTGTAAAATTAAAGCATAACTAATAATAATGACTACCATAATTTATTTAAATTCTGTATATTTATACCAGGCCAGTTAGTGTATTCCTGATGATTGCATGCTCCTTTGGGGTTCTAGGAAGTTACAACTTAACCCCTTATAATCCCTGGCTTATTACATACTAAAGCTTGTAATTCAGTAACTACACACATTACAGTGCAAACTAGCTGAGTTATTCTTAGATTAATGAAGTATGTGTGTAGTAAAACTTTGGGCCCTGACCATTTAAGGGGTTAATTTATAGATAACCTTCTCAGCATTATCAAGCCAGGGGTCTTTCTCACAATGCAGCATTTTTTATCTTACTCAGCTAACTTTAACCTTATCTTAATCTAATCCTGATGGCTGTGGCAACAGTGTTGCTTTTTTTACCATTATAAATGCTTTACTTTCTACATATTTAGGTAGTATGATGTCTTTTTCCGTCTCCTGTTCACGTTTCACATTATTAGGTAGAGCCTCATATCGCTCTCTTAGAAGCTTTACAATTTTATTTTACACCAAAAGGATCCCAAGAAGAATAGCACCTTACAAACTTCACTTCCTGCACTGAGAAATGCTGGACTTTCCACTTCATTTCTTTTAGTTATTGAGATTTATGGAGGTTTTTGTGATCTGATTTTTTATTATTCATATTGAATGTGTTTTTTGCTCAGCTATTTTACTTGAGTTACTTGGCTACTTTGCCATCTCTGCCTTCAACCATGTGTTCATAATGTTCATAATTCAACCATCATCTACTAATCACTAGTCTTGAACACTTATGAAATGGTTTGTGTTTTCAATCCACTGCCTTTTCCTACTCTATCCACTGTTTTGTATCCCATTGTCGTTGACCGATAGCCTGTGTTGACTTAAGCGTGGAAATGTCTGAAGTGTGTGCGTCCAGCTGCGCTCAAAGTTCTTTGAGGTCAGTCTGCTCTACAGCTCTGAAGGATGCTGCCCTTCTTATGCAACCCTTTTTTTTCAGTGAGCCATCTGTGGGAATCACTTAGAATGCATAGCTCTCCATGTAGCTCACTTTCTGGCCTCTGTGAAAGCTTGAAGGCATTTCAAGCCCTATGAAATTCCACAAATTACACATTAAACATTCCAGGAAAAAGACACAGTCACATCTAAATTACTGGAAAACATTTAGTCAAAAAGAAACGAAAGCTATTTTGTAGCCTTAACCACTATTATCCATAATGTAATAACTGTCTATGTGCAAGAGTTTAAGTAAGTTCTACTACTTCAGCCCTGTAAAAGTGATTCATAGCGCTGGAGTTTCACTCAGCTCCACCATATGGTCAAACACCTTGCTGTTCAGATGCCCCAAATTCCAGCTTTATTTCGGTTAGACGAGGCATGGGGGAACACCTGGAGAAAACTTAGACCATCACCACAGTTTATTTCACCAAGTTTCTCATTTAGGAAGATGCTTGTGAGTGAAGTGTTAAACAACTTATAGTATTGTTAGCATCTTTCCTTCTGTGTAGTTGGCGCTGTGCAGTCTACAAACATTGCTTGAACATGTCATTTTCTTGTATTCGGCCATAAAATTGTCTTGGTGTCTGTTTACTGGCAATTTCTAATTGATTTGTAGGGGGCTGCAATGCAAAAATGTGTGAATGTGCATCATGAAGATGTAACAATGCATCACAGGGAATAGACATTCTATTAATATTATCTAATAGAACTGTATGCAAATAACCAGCATCAATCAACAGCCCACAACAGCACATTCTCATTAATAGATTATATGACTACATGGATAATCTTAGGAAGAATATATCATTACACAC